TGCAACTCGCACACACTTGTTTTCCTTCGTTGTCGAGGACTTGAAAACGAGGTCATGTCAGAATGAACAGTAGCTAGAGCTAAGTGTTCATTGGAGGAAAAAAATCATTGTGTGGGACCAGATGAGGCTGGTCTGGTCAGGGGCTTTAATTATGAGTTTCATAAGATTATTTTGCTTATGTGACAATTATTACCATTATTTGATATTTAACTGGGGCCTTTGACTCTATTTTTGGCGTATATTTTGATGAGGGCTCGGGACTAAAGAGCTGTGGTTCTATCCGTGTGTTAGAGCTATGCCCTTATGTGGAATAGTTTTCCCATCTGTAGTATCGGTTAATATCGAGGTGTTGATTTTTTTTTTTCAACCCGAGTCTCAGATGATTGGACCAATGACTGCACGACTTGCGTTCCGCAAATTTTCTGTTTCATGGAGTGATGATGGGACTCCTGAATTCAGCCTCTTATCTTATCTGTACCTGTGAATTAGTTGCCCCTTGCCTGGACTGGGCTGCACCACCGGCGAGCCGCCTCAGTCCAGCCCTAACCCGCCCAGTCCGAGTCCAGGATCTGTAGCCCGTTTCTCCGTGGGAACCAAGGTTTTTCACATATTTTTTTCCCCACTGGGTTTCTCGGTGGTTGCAGGATAGTGATGATCTAGGACATTTTTGCGCATTTATGGACAGTGGTCATCCCGCTACCTATGGACCAATGGCTCAAATGTCTTTATTATTGCATTTCTTGTACTCCGAACAATTTGATGCTCAGGCCAATTCTGATCGGATTTGATTCTCTGGCAAAGTTGTGGATTCCTTTGTAAAATGCTGAGATGAGCGCTGTTGTGATTCAAATACACAATGTGTTGCATTGTATAATAAATTTACTTTCTTTCAAATGATTGCACAATGGCAAATACTGTTCCAGGAGACGAGTTCACATTGTTCTAATCCAGTCTTCTACTTCATTAATTTCAACAATGCGTTATGAAACTTTACTTCCACTTGGTATGATATCACTGGTCAGAAGAAACAGCAAATATGGTCAAAGCGCAAGCACTTTAGTAAGCCAAGCGCACCGTACGGAGCTTGCCCTAACATGTTGTGACGTGACTTTATATAGCCCATTTCCATTATTCATGTGTGGATGGCTGGGGCATATTGGAGCTGGACTGGAGGATCGTGGGGTAATCACTGGAGGATGGTGACGTGTCAGCCCACAGAGTATGTTTCTGTCAGAAGTAGTCGGGACCCAACAGTTACCAGAATGCAGAAGTACTATGTGATCCGTTGTGTTCCAACTTATACTTAACAGCTTATAGGTGACATAATTGATTACAGGAGGAAAGAAAACCTGGAGGAGCTGAAATATCACCCCAGGGAGAAGATGCTGATTGATATGGATGGCCTTTATAGGCGTTTAAGCTGGGATACCCCTCCCCGCCTTGGAGCCTTTTCAGTCCTGGGTCTACAGCCTTTATATTATCCATTTCTCTTTTCTCATAACAGTCCAGTTTGATTCTTAACAGCAGGGGAGACACCACTCCTCTGAAACTGAAGCACATTTGGAGAGTTTAAAAGATTCAGTGTAATAGTTTGTGGGTCAGTGAACATCATGCCATTTTATCAGGACGACATGAGGAGCAGTAGACTTTGCACAATCGAAGAACTTTTTCTGTCCTTTGTACTTTGTCTTTATTAAATATTTAAAGCTATAACCACAATGGAGTCATTCTATTGATGCAAAGTATTCGGAATGTGTGTATTTTAAGAACTGGAAAACAAAATGTATAGAAAGATTATTTTTTACCATTTTAATGCAATACAACATCTGGAGAGCTGGGCTTGGCAAATCCACACAACCAACGTGTTCCATGTCACACGCAACATCAACGTGTCTAATTTCACCACAGATACTTTATGAAACAAAGTTTTTACTAAAGTGAGAAGTTTTTATTTGTATTTCATATATATTATTTGCACTTGTTTTGAAACTGTTTTAGTCGATCGATTTCACAGTGACATTTGTTTACTGTTATATTTGTGTTATTTTTGTCTTTTAATGTTGTTTTATGTCTGTATTTGTCTGTGCACACTGGTGACTTTTGCTAATGTATTCCAATGTGGTGTTTTTACTGCAAATGGCAAATAAACTGAATCTGAATCTGATATGATGAAGATTATCTATAATTAAGTACAGGACTGCTCCACATCACGCACACAGATCACAAACACTCTCTGAACTACGTCCATGCATGGATTTAAAACATGCATCCATGTCTCTGAAGCGCCTCAGTGAGCCGTCAAATGGTGCGGCCGCTTCGCAAGGCTTTGAACATCACCACATACGGCACCAACACACGCCTAAAAAAACCCTCTAAACTACTCGCACACGCTTTGGGTGTTTAAGGTGTGATGTTTTCTTTCATTGTGGCGCGGCTTTGCCCGACGACACAATACCAACTATCATAATGCATCATGAGATACTCCCTTGCCTTCAAGTGTTCTCCGGAGCACTCGTCATTTTGGGTTCAAATCAATGGTTTAGCGCTCTCCTGAGACAAACATGGAACTCTGCCTCTTCTGTCTAAAAGCTCCCGTGTCAGTTCTGAAACAGTATCATGCCATATACATACATTATACTCTAAAGCAGGGTCACCAACCTTTTAAAATCCGAGGGCTACCTCAAGATGACCAAATGACTCAGGGCTGCTATATAATGTTTAGTTCCAGGGACTGCAGATGGAAACTATCTGTTTAGCTATAATCTGGTGTAGAACTTATCTTTCTTCAAGCTTAAATGTCTCTGTACATTCTCCCTTCAAATATAGACACAAAAAAAGTTGAAATTAATTGTGCATTGCGCGAATGGGTCAAAAATGGAGAATTGTACATGCCCCATTTTTCTATTTCAACATGGATTAAATTGAACTATTATGTATTAATTTGAGTATAATAATCACAGGGGGATTTAATTCATACTTATTTTATTACCTTTCATATTTTTTAGATCAGCTTTTTAGACTCTGCCAGTGTTTTAATTTGGTAAATTATCTGCATATCACGGATTCAGAAAAAATGAAAAATGGAAAAAAAAGCAAGCAGACCGACACTGTGTTGGCGGTGTGTCAAGGGGAGCATGTGAACGAGGAATGATGGGGAAACTAGAACATGGACAAGAAAGCCCATGTTGCTTGTCCTCTCAGTGACACAGGTGAGAATTGGCTAAATGTGTGCAATATTTGGGCCACAATTCTATATTATTCCAATTCTTATCATATTGCGATACAACAAGTGTTTTGCGATTTGTTTCTGCAATTTACAGCAATTCATGTCCCTTATATTATTCAAAGGCATTACAAAAATTGAGGAAAATAAGACTCAACTCAAATGTCACATTCATTACGGTCTGCACATGAACTGAAGTACAAAAATGTAATCCTTGAACATTCAGGACACAGGACCTTATTACTACAGGAAAAGAATTATTCTCAGAATAATGAAGTTGTGTGCTGTGAGTTCATCGTTCAAGTGAGAGGTCACCTTCAAATACAATAGAACAATAGAATAGGGCCGCACAGTGGCTGAGTGGTTAGCACTCTCGCTTCTTAGCAAGAAGGTCCTGGATTTGAACCCAGGACCTCCGGGTGCTCTGGTTTCTCCTACCACTAAAATCATCACTGAGTGGAGAGTATGGAAATTATTTGTAAAGCGTTTTGGGTGACCTTGGTCTGTATAATGTGCTATATAAACAAACATTTCTTACAATAGACTTAAACCAAAAACAGACATAAAAGTGAAACAAACCTCAGATGTAAACTACCTGAGGTAACTCAGAAAGCACAAAAGTGAAAAAGGAAATGTATTAAATAATGCAATACTTTTCTCGACAGTATTGATTGAATTGTTGAGCGCTCAGATGTTTGGGTTCATGCTCTCGACCCATGACAGAGCAGCATGTCTGTCACAGAGGTTTCCATCTCGATCCCGTGGGCAGCAGAGCTAACACTAGCAGCACAGCGTAAAGACATTTATGGAACGTGACTAATACCAGTGCGAGCTGATGCCAGATCCCCCATTCCCCGGAGCGTGTGAGATGTGAGGAATACACCGCCGCCTCCCAAAATAATTCAAATCAAAATAAAAGCCCGTGCTACATCGCAGTTCCCTTCTGGAACACGCACAGAACTATTTCAGAGAGGCTTGCGAAGAAAGTGTGTCTGGTGAGAAGCAGCGGAGTGGGTGGCTTTGAAGAGAGCGCATTTTATTATTTACATTTTTAGAGGTGGAAAAAGTATGGGAATGTTGTACTTGAGTAAAAGTACTTCTGCTGGTTAGAATGTGTTGTTAGATCAACTTTACATGTAAAATGTGCTGACTGAGCAGAAGTAGCTCAGGATAAAAGTAGCTCTCTGAAAGAAGTTAGAGACCCAAGTCTAAAAGGATATTGCATTGGACTTGGCCAAAGTTGGACCATGTCCCCTTAAAGGTGGAAGGTGTTCTTTTATTAATTTATTTGGGACACAGCAGCCCAGCTTCTCTGCTGCTGTGCTCTGATGCTCCAGTGAGGTTCTTTCTGACAAGAGTTAAGCACAAGTGACTGAGGAAGGGGCCTCATTCAGAGGAGAGATGATGAAAGGACAATGTGTTTGCTCATGGAGAATAGACAATTGCAGTACATGCTTTGTGTGCATGTGCATGTGCGTGTGTATAGAGTAGATTAGAGAAATGTGAGAAAAGCTTCTACTCTGACAATGTTCAAATCCAGGTTAAAAACAGTTTACCTTGTATATGAATATAGTTGTTTACAGGGCAACAGAACTTAAGTGGGTCAGATAGATATAAGAGAAAGTTTTGTCACGCCAACTTTAAAGTCACCAGTGAATGGACCTGGCATGTCTTCGCTCGACCTTGTTCCCCACATATCAGACCTCAGCACTGGGACATGTCTCAAAGCAGTGACCCCCAGTGTGTGGAGAGAGGAGTGGATGATGATGACCAGTACCTTGTCCATCTCGTTGCTCTTCCTCTTGCGGGCAGAGCGTGTGATCTTGACCGTGACGCCGCTCTCCTCGCCCTGCCGCCTCAGGGCCATGCGGTTTGGCTGCAGTGGGCTGAAGGAGATCTCCAGCTCGGGTTTGGGGAAGCGGCTTGTCCTGCCGTTCTCTGTGGAGATCTCAGAGGAGTCCAGCACCGAGGGGCAGCCGGCGGAGCTCTGCGGGAGGACCAAACACGCAGTACTTCACAACACTGCAGAGTACAGCTGTTGACTCCGGGGTTCGGAGACTTCAAAATAATAATAATAATTATACATTTTGTTCCTTAGGCGCCATTCAGACACTCATGGTCGCCTTTACATGAGATAAAAATTACATTTAAAGACTGTTATAATACAAAGTTAAAAACTGCATTAACAGAGGATGGTGTAAGTGATAAGATTGTCGAGAAAGCTTGTTTTGAGGGTGGATTTGATCACTATACATAAAAAATATAACACCGGACAAACCTGAGGCTTGTTTGTGTAGTCATTGTGGCACTCATCTCACATTTTCTGGACTTTTACTTTTACTGCCTTCAAATCAATATTCTATAAAACCACAAGACTCCTGAGGCTGTTTAGAAAACACTGACCACTGCACTTAATGTAGCCTGAGCTGAACACCTACGTACTAGGGGTGGGCGATATGGACAAAAATAAATATCTTGACATTTTTTCCCAACTCCTAATAACGATATTGTCACATTATCTTTAAAATCAATCATTTTTACACAAAATGATCTGCAATGTTTTGCTTGTCATGGAATCTATAGATAGAGATTGTGTGGATCAAAATAAAGCTTTTTATTTGTAAAGTGCTTCAAACATCTTTGCAAAACATGCACTAACATATATTAACATTAAAAATCTAATTCAAGTAACCCAGAAAGAACACATCCAAAAAGGCTTGCTCAATATTTACTGAAATGTGCAAATAAAGCAGTGATTGGCTTTCCAGGCACACATTAGACAAATGGGCATCTTTCTTTCTCTAATTATTATATGTATTGAAAAATTAAAAATCTTCAAAAATTGACTTTCACGATATTATTGTCTACGATATATTTTGCCCACCCCTACCACCTACTTATTCTGCTTGGACTGAAAAAGAAAGATTTATCAGATGGAGGAAATGCATGATATTATCTACTCTGAGACTTCATAAATTGATATCAGGTCTATCATCCCCAAAAGATTATCACTACACTATAGTCTAGCACAGAAAGACAGCTGCACAATACAAGTGAATAAGGCTCCTTTAAGAACCACACGCAGAGATGCCATTGAACAGATCACGGAGATCCTGGGACTGGACCTGGCTGATACCTGAGATCCTGGGACTGTACACGGCTGATCACAGAGGTGCTGGGACTGTACCTGGCTGATCACACAGGTCCTGGGACTGTACCTGGCTGATCACAGAGGTCCTGGGACTGTACCTGGCTGATCACCGAGGTCCTTGGCTCCCTTTTGCTCCTGGATTTGCGCACGGGAGCTTCACTTTTGGGACTCTCGCTGCTCTTAATCTGTCAATAGAAACAAAAATAGAATAAAAAGTAGACATGAGTAATGATTGAACCATGTAGCCTCTGCGTGCTGGGTGAGTGGCAGCATTAATCAGTGCCGTGTTGCGTGGAACACAGATCCCCAAGGGGACACACACATGTCAGTATTCAGGTTAAGAAAGACGCCTGAGAGCTGGGATGTCCTCAGGCGTGTGCTTGTGATTCATCAACTGAAGGAATGGGATTATATGGTATCACAGTGGAACAGGAGCTCCTTGGGTGGAATAAGTAGCTAACAGCTTCTCTCTCTCACACACACACTCTTTATTAACCCCTGTCCATCAATCCCTTCAAGCTTTTCCTAATAATACTCCCTTCACTTTATTTTCCATTCATTTTTCCATTACTACAGTGGTATGTTTGGGCTTGATAATACCATTGACACCATCCCATGTTGAGTCCTGGCAGTTGAAATACACTAATTGTCACAGTAACATAGAAGGCTTGAAGAAGTTGGCACAGGTCTTCTCACTGACCTTGCGGGCATCCTGGGTGGACTGCAGCTCCTCTTTCAGTTTGACGATCTCCGCCTCTCGTTCAGACAGAATCGCCTGCAGCTCGGCCACACCCCCGTCATCAGTCTGCACCAAACAAACACATCCGGTCACTGCAGCCCAGGTATGCATCTAGAGTCCTGTCTAGAAACCAGGAAGTACGATCACATCGGTCCAGTTCTCAGGTCTCTGTTGCCGAGTCACAGGAAGCCAGTGCAAAGTACATCAGAGACATGTTAGTGCCATATCAACCAACTCCGACTCTGACGAGCACAGGGACTGGCCTCCTGCTGGTGACCAGAGTCAGAACTAAACATGGGGAGCAGCAGCAGCAAAATGTGAGACAGGCTGCTTCTTCTCAGTTATGTTTAGCTGTGCATACAACTGAGGGATTTTATCTTCACACGTTTTAATATATTGTGATTATTTATGATTTGAATGCCTTGTATTGTTACTTGTGTCTTGTTTTGTTAGGGACTTTGAGTCCCTACTATCAGGTAGACAAGGGGAAGTCCAAACAATATGTAATTGAAGCACACAGATGTAAAGATAAGACTCTAACTGACTCTGGGGGAAGAGGTGGACACGCTCAAAACAAGTGAGTGTAAAGTCCTCATTTAAGGCCAAAAAATACTGCGGCCAGTATTTGTAGAGGACACCTTTTTCTAGAGACATATGTACGAGGGGAACTGCTATCCTCAGATTCAGATTCAAGCATCTTTAGAGGGAGGGAGAACTTTGTCTTTGTAGGGATTAAGGTTAGAAGTCAAATAAAGGATCTTATCTTCATAATCATTAAAGCAGAGTGAGATTACAAGTCTTTATTATAATAATCACAGAAAAAAATGGACTGAGCCACAATCATCAACATTATACCAAACAAAGACTTGTACTGCAGGCAGGTCACACTCAGGCCCGGGGGCAAAATCCGGCCACAAGACCAATTTTAGTGGCCCTTGAAATGATTATCATTATCATTGCATTAACTTGAAGAATTGGATGGAAATGGGCTTCTATGGCATGCCATGCAACTGTATTATTGAATCTGTTCGAGAGGCTGTTGTAAACAAGCGGCGTGTGCCCATGGCTCTCAAAGCAAAAAAGAGACTGAGCCGATGAGAGCTGAGGATTCAATTAAGAATGGACCAAATCATTTGCTTTCATAACCAACGAGGACTGCTACATGTTTGCTTTGTAATGAGAAGGTGTCGACCAACATGGAGAACATTGTCAGAGAAGGCATGCAATTTGCTGCTGAACGAAGTGATACTTTCATATAGTAAACAAATTAAATGTGAAAACAGAAAATATTTTTTTCTCAAGTTTAATTTTTAGAGAAAAATGGACAAAAACCATCACATCCATTACACATTTTTCAAGGGTCATTTACATTTTCATTTTTATGATCCTTTTTAAAGCGAATTCCTGATGTGTTAATGTTAATCTTTTCATCTGCCGCTTTTTCAGACTGACGACATTTCATTTTCTATGTCACTGGCGTCACAGTAGAATGATCAAATCAGATGCCCATTTGGTTGTTTAAAAATGTATTTATCAATCTTTCCTTTTGATTTTATCCACACTATCTCTTCGATGTGTGTGTTTGGAATCCTTTTCCCAATCTATGATAGTCATTTTAGTGTTTTAGTTATAACCTTTTAAAGTCCAGATACTTTGACACTTTACAGTGAACGCACTCCCATGCATTTTAACCCTAACCCATTGCAAAACATTTGGGCCTAATAAAAACACAAACACACACACAAATATACACACTTTAGGGCCTGGACCTGCAGCAGCTGTGGTGAGAGCTGTGTGTTGGCAGAGCAGTTGGGTGTTTGCAGAGCAGTTGGGTGTTTGCAGAGCAGTTGGGTGTTTGCAGAGCAGTTGGGTGTTTGCAGAGCAGTTGGGTGTTTGCAGAGCAGTTGGGTGTTTGCAGAGCAGTTGGGTGTTTGCAGAGCAGTTGGGTGTTTGCAGAGCAGTTGGGTGTTTGCAGAGCAGTTGGGTGTTGGCAGAGCAGTTGGGTGTTGGCAGAGCAGTTGGGTGTTGGCAGAGCAGTTGGGTGTTTGCCCAGAACAGTTGTGTTTGAGCAGAACAGTTGTGTTTGAGCAGAACAGTTGTGTTTGAGCAGAACAGTTGTGTTTGAGCAGAACAGTTGTGTTTGAGCAGAACAGTTGTGTTTGAGCAGAACAGTTGTGTTTGAGCAGAACAGTTGTGTTTGAGCAGAACAGTTGTGTTTGAGCAGAACAGTTGTGTTTGACTATCCCACACTGACCTCTGCTGGTGGCTGGGGAATCTTCTGTTGCAGCTCCTGGATCAGCTTCTCCTTCTGAGCCTGGCTGGAGAGCAGCTTCTGGAGCTGCACTTCCAGAGCAGAGACCAGAGTGTCCCGCTCCTTCCTCCACTGCTCCATAGTCTGCTCCTTCTGAGTGAGTTGGGAGGACAGAGACTCCTGAAGGCACAACACAAAGCAGGTTATTTCAGAAGTGCTATTATACGCCTGTAGAAATATGAGAGAAGAGGCCAGAGATATACACTGGAAAAGACATAAGAAAATGTGCACCTGGTGTAAAAGCTTGAGTTCAAGGCTGTGAGACGTTTCAGCCTCTGATAATTTATGAAACATCGTTGTTATATACAGTAGGTAGATGGAGTAGAAACCAGAAAAGTACATATGGAAAATTTTTGGTTTTCTTATTTCAATTGCATCCATGCGACAATAGTGAGAGGGCATAAATCTGATTTATTCATATCCTTTAAGTCATAAGTGTATATTCAGGCCGTGACAAAAGTATGTAAACTTTCCACTGCATGGATCCTTCCAGCAAAATGCCAATTCCTTCAGATGAGGCATACATGCTACATACAACAACATATACTGTATATTGCATTAGAATATACAGTATCTTACATTTGCTTCTTCAGATATTTAATCCTTGCTTCCTTATTATGCTAAAGTTATTTTAATTTTATTTTAGTATAGAGTTATTGTTCATTTATCTTGTGTTGTGCGCTCTTCAATCCTACTGTTCTTTAAACAGAAGGATGAAAAATGCATGAAATTTCCCCACTGTGGGATCTCTTGATCTCAATGAATCGGGGAAAAAAGCAGTTGAGCTAAAGTATAAAGAGTGGTGGTGCTCAGAGGGGCCTGTCAGAACACACATGACCCACATAACGGAGTGTCATCCCCAGAGCGCACTGTCTGACCTCGAGGGCTGGGCACATGGATCTATTATATCTGGATAGGGTATTACTAGCTTGAAGGTGAAGGATCCATGTGGTCGGGTGATTCTCAACGTACTGCAGACTAAACGATACTACAGAAGTTTTCCTCATAGAACTCAATGTAAACTAAAACAGCTCGACCTCAGCTGACAGAGAACCTGACAGAGAACCTGACAGAGAAACTACAGCTTTCATAAAAGGTCGGATTTTGTGGGGATTTTAGTGTCTTTTTTCAATTTAAATCTTCCAAGACAGCCGTTTTGGAAGTAACAGAAGTGGACACAATTGTTACGTCCACAACGCCCATTTTGTTTGCAGTAATTGAATAATATTTTTTTGCATAATGTAAAATCTATAGCTATAATTATATAGTTTTCTCATTCCTGTTGACTCTTCCATGCACAAAGCCTCCAACACGACATGTCCTAAATGTAACAATTATGACCCCAAAGTTCAATACAATAGGGCGACAGTAGCTCAGTTGGTAGAGCATTGGCCTTTGGGCCTGAAGGTCGTGGGTTCAAGCCCACCATAAGACCTACTTCATGACTCCCACTGATGACTGCTGTCGTTGTGTCCTTGGGCAAGACACTTAACCCTACTTTGCCTAAAGCCCCAACTGAAAGATCTCAGCTCCTGTTCTAGCTGCCCTTCTAAGATTATACCATGTATAAATATAGGCTACATAGTATTCTTTTTTTTTTTTTTTTAGGTACAAACATTTTTAGTTCACACATTTGTCGCTTGAAGTTAGATTGACAAATGGTACCGTTTAGTGTGGAGGGAGCCAAATACCAATTAAGAGCTAATTAACCATAAATTATACCTTAATTAGCTGTTAATGAATGAGGGCTAAATATAATACAATAATTTTATTTTTGCACGCTACATTTCCACAAAAACCTCAAAGTGATATGTGAATGATTGATATTCTTTTATGGGTACAACAGAAATGTGTTCTATTGGCAAATATTGTTTTAAGACTGATCTCAAACCATATTTGGACGAGAATACATTTATATTATATATTTATATTATATAGGTGCTGGAAATGTTTTCAAACCAAGTTAAAAACTCCCTAATCCATTGTAGTGCAACATTTTGTCGAATGTATTAAAGCAGTAGCTCTCCAAGGAAAGGGATGGAGACCCCTGCATAACAGCATGATTACGTTTGGAGTTTTTACCCCTTTTCCTGAACAGATTATCTCATTAGGAACTGAATAAAAGAGCAGTGAACCCTTTATTCGCAATATTGTGACAAGCAACATTGCTGAATAAAACAAGCTGCATCTACAAATGTGGAGCCGAATCTTGTAAATACTCTTCACCAGGAGTTAGTGGACATGTGTGCCACACTGAAGATATTTCTACACTTTTTCACAGTCTGCCTTTATCTCAAACAACTTTAGGCGTTGGAGTTTTTTCAAGAATATATAAAATTTTGATTTCAAGAGGCTATAACTTTAAAGGGTTAATGTGGCAAAGACATGCAGGTATCGGAAAACAGGTAGCTGTACCAGAAAACAGCCCAGCGGCCGCAGCCAGACTCACCACTGCTGTCTGCTGCCGGTGGAACTTGTCCCGGTCCTCCGCAAACCTCCTCATGTCCTGGTTCCTGCGCTCCTCAGCCTCTTTGGCCTGAGCGATTAGGGAGAGCTTCTCCTCCATCCAGGTCTTACGCTCACTGCGGTGCTTCTCAGTGAATGACTGCAACAAAAACAGCAGGTGGTGAAGGACAATGGATTTCAACAGTGTAGAAGTATATCACATTTTCAGGATGACTGGTCGAAGGTTTAGCTGCATCAATCTGAAACTCTGCCTCCTCATGTTTGGTCCCGACTCTGGTCAGCCCCTGTGCTCCTCAGAGTCCCAGCAAGAGAGCAGTCCCTGTGCTCCTCAGAGTCCAAGTTGGTTGATATTTCCCTAACATGTCACAGATGTACTTTGGTGCGAGGACATTGAGAGACTGGTCACAAGCAGAGCTGCTTTACAGTAGATTCTCGGAGCCACAGGAAGATATAATGTTTGGTTTGTTACGATAGCTGATAAAGTCTAAGCATGAAACAATATGAATCTACTTTACTTCTGGAGAGTCCCATTTAACATGATTTTAGAGTTATTGGAAACTCTAGCAAACCTACGCAGACACAGGGAGAACATGTCTGACTGGCGCCACCTGAGAGTGGAACCAAAGAGCTCTAACTACTGCTCCCCACGTCTCCATGAGATGTAAGAGGTAGTGCTCATAATGAACCTGGACTATAGAACAGCACAAACAGCCAATGAGGTGTACGTGTAATGAACAGACGCACCTGGAGCTGGAGCTGGGCCTGGCTCGCTTCCCGTCTCGCCGCTCGGAGGTCAGTAGAAGAGCTTTCCTGAGCAGGACTACTGCTGGGGGCCTCTCTCCTCAGTAACATGGCCTTCACCTTCTCCAGCTCTGCAGAGGAACCAACAGGACAGACACTCAGTAAGGGACAAACACATGGATAAACACATGGAGATTGACCACATCACAGTGATGAGCCAGAGCGTGCAGGGAAGCAAAACAAAAAAATCACATCCTGGACATTTAAAAAACAAATGTGATGCATCCATTGGTTAAATTGTGGTCCTCAGCATCAATGTTCTTAGGTTCAGGTCCATTCTGAGCAGTGTTTGCATGTTCTCTGGGTGGAAGTTGCAGTTATACTTTGAAAGGACACACAAATGTTAAGTAAATCAATCACTTCAAAGTAATAGTTTTGAATTCCGTCAAATTGAATTTAATATTCTTTATTACTTAATAAAGAGCTGAAGTTGATAGTCCAAAAAAAATGTATGGTATTTTTTTGTTTCTGATTAAAGCAACAATGTTTACAGTGTGTATACAGAAGGGGCGGGGGATGTGCTTGTGGAAGAAGTTCTTAACGTGGAGGTCTGTGACTGAAGAAGGAATAATGGTCAAAAGCACAAAAAGGGCGTTTTAGGCGAATAAGAATCAAACTAAAGGTGTGTGCTCGTCAGTGTCATTGTGATCTAAAAGACAGACTTGAGCATACTGACTGTTCTCATTCCAATGCACTTTATCCTGGCCTGTTTCACACTGCTGACCAGGAGGCTGTGTGTGCTCATTACCTGTAGTCAGCTCCTGCATGTGCTTGTCCTTCTGCTCCATGACTCGCTCCATCTGCTCCTGGGTCTCCTCCTGCTCCGACAGAGCCAGCCGCATCTGTTCCATCACCTGAGCTTTGGCTTCGAGCTCTGCCCCAAAACACAAACACACAGCATGAGTCATATACACCCATGCATAACAGTACTCTTACTACAGTCTGACATTACTCTTACTAGTCTGAAATGGTGGCCAATAATTATCGTAGGAGATAATATTGAAAAAGTAGCTTTGACGATGAGCTTTTTCACATTATTGAGATACTGGCTCCATTTCAGTTTCGCCACTTTGCCTTCTCTGTGCTGCGTTCACCCCCGCCTCCTTTTGCCGCCCCTCATTCAACACAGCAGCGGCGCCACTAGAGACTGCGGTAAACATGCTCAGAGGAAACAAACTTGTCTAAAAAAAAACCAAAAAAATATAAAAAAAGAGTAGAGTAGAAAAGCTAGTCCGTGGAATTTCCTACAGCAATGTCACGGCACGTTTTACCGCCATTGAACAACGCGGCTTTAGACTAGAGACTGTAAACTTCATACACAGCGTAAGGTTACTCAACATAACCCTGGTTCTTTGATAACAGATTGAGGTGTTTCACCAGAGATTAGAGTTGAGGCATTACTTTGTGATACAAGAACTCCGGTGACTGTACACTACGGAGAAAGTGTAATTAAATGTTGCAGAAGCACATTGTTATGCAGATTGGGTTGAGCAGTTTTATTTTTGCATGAAGATAAGGCAATATGTAGAATTTCTTCAAAAACAGGAAATAAAAACAAATGTGACATAAGCACTTTGTTCTTACTTGAACCAACTCCTCTTTGAGGGTAAATTTTTTTCCATATTGCCCAGCCCTAGTCAGACATTAACATAACTCTTACGATAGCACAGTTTACGTACCTTTACAGGTGTTTTGGTGAAGCTGCTCGGACTTGTTTGATGACTGTTCCTGTAACAGAACATCAGTCAAAAACACTGCACTGCGACGTCATGTTTTCTGATGTTTGAGGGATCTGATCAGATGCCGATCAGATGTCGCACTAGACGGTGTCTTTAGCCACAACCATCCGCCCCCCCATCCCTCAGCTGCCCCACCAGGCACTAGCCCCTACCCAGCGAATGCTCACCATCTTGAGGCTGGCGATGGTGCGCTCTTTGGTGGCCAGGTCCGACTGAAGCTGCTTCTTAGACTTGTCCAGGTCGTTTAGTCTCTGCTTCAGGCTCCTCTCCTCTTCCCGCATGGACGAGATCTGGCCACAAGGAAACGGTCATTCCCCAATACGCCCCATTCACTCTTGTACTTTCAATCAGGAGGTTCCAGGGACATTGGTGATGATCCAGAACATTCGACATTCAACAATCAATCAATTTTCTTTTTAGAGCCCTTTACAACACTCAAGGAGACCATAGTGCTTCACAATAAAATTACATAAAATCCATTTAAAACATGTATACATTAAAAACAATAAAACAGATTAAAAAAAACATTTAAAAAGTGTCACCTGCTATTGAGTGATAAAAGTGTTAAAAGCCAGTCTGAATTAAATACGTTTTGGGCCTGGATTAAAAAGGCCAAAATCAGTGAGGACACGCATATCAGGGGGAAGCTTCCAGAGTGTGGGTCCAGGACTGAGAAGGACATTGGTGCATAAGGGGCGGATGACCAATTACTGTGTGCTTTTTATAATTGTATTTCCTGTGTTTGCACTGTTTGATTCTCTGACCTGTGTTGGCAAATTGACGATTTGGTAAAGTCCTCAGAGATAACTACTGTTTCGATTTAGGGCTATTCAAAATTAAAATGAAGTCTCCATAAACTGACTACATGTAGGTCAGTTGCAGATTTCATTCAACATTCAATGAAATTAGAGTTTGCAAAAGAGGTTTAAGCAAAAAATCCTCTGCTGTGATCATCAAACACATCCCAAAACGAAATGCTCTGGGGGTTTCTCTTCCCTCATCTCTGGTTTATTAGATTCTAAATGCTGGGCTTATATTTTTAGAGTGAGTGAATGGGGCGACAGTGGCTCAGTTGGTACAGTATTGGTCTTCGGGCCTCATGGTGACCTACTCCATTGACACCCACTGATGTCTGTTGTTCTTTTGTCCTTGGAAGAGACTTAACCCCACTCCGCCTGAAGCCCCCGCTGAAAAGCCACGGTTGTGTCGATGACTGAGGAGCCATCTTCATGTGGAGGATCTGCAGGAGGATCAGTGAGGGGCTGGTGCTCTGAGAATTAGGTGGCAGCTCTAATCGCCAGCCCCCAACCCACAAATGGACTAAGGGGTTAAGATCTATGAATGAAAAAATCGTTTTCCGGGATAGTCTTTTTGAGACAGTTGACACAATGGCTCCGTGGGAATGAGCGTGTGATCATTAGTTGGCTACATGAGAGAGAGTGGGTGTGATATTCTCGAGCTGCCACGTTAGCATTCTGCTTTCGGCTTCTGATCCCAATCAAGTCTCAATATCCAGATTAAAGACGCTGTAAATTAACTATGCATTAATAACATTAAAATCTGTTATGTGACAAGTGATGCATTTTCACTGGGACAAGCAAAATCTGGTAGAGGCTCTATAATGTTACTCATGTTGCTTAAAGCAGTGGTTCCCAAAGTGGGGGTCCCAGGAGATGATTTCCATAAAACAAATTAAATAAGAGGAACAAACATATAGCCCTAAATATTTTTGTTGCAATTGATTTGATTCAATAGGAATTCTAGTTAAATTGTGCTTGGAGAAGAGTCTAAAAAACATAATATTTTGTAATTTTGTCCGACACATTACGACAGCGTCAATCAAAGTCACATGTACCAGAGGTGAGACAGGAAGGTTGTTGAGGGGGAGTGGGGGAGTGGGGATGGGGGTTTGCGGGGCAGCAGCAGATTTATCATGGCGGTTGTGTGCAAAAAACTTTGGCAACCCCTGACTTAAAGCATACATTTCATAATCAATTATAAAATATAGACCAGGGACGTCGAACCGGCCATTATAATGTCCATCAGATTACTTCCAACCGAGCAGGCACTCACCAGACTCTACCCATTCCCACGTTAAGACAGGGCTCACATCTGTGGACTGATCTAGATAATCCCTCTGTCCATACATCGACTGTATGTATTTCTATATATAAATATCGAGGAAGGAATAGATATACATTAAGGAAAAGATGAAAAGGGCCCTGTATAGTTGGATGCATTGAAGATGAAACATGGCTGACAATGACATTGCCAAAAAAGGTAACATTACGAAATATGGAGTTGCTCTTCTGTTGTTGGTCGAATACTTCATTGTCAAACCATCTTTCAAATACATTGCTTAAAAATCCTACATGTGTTTTCCTACATTAGTTTTCACTTTCTGTCTCTCAGTTGACACGTACCTATGCTAAAATGAAGGACCCCCTTGCGTTTTTTCAAGAGAGTGAACTTGGGGCAGAGCCTCACCTCCTTCTGCACCTGCTGGAGCTGCTTCTTGTAATCAGCCATTTTCTCCTGCAGCTCGTTGCTGTGCTCCTCTCTCCTCTGCAGCTCGGTGCTCAGGCTCTTCACTTTGTCTACGTCCTGTTGGGAACTCAGCTTCAGCCTGGAGGAGAAGCAGACAGAGCAAGGACACATTCAACACAGCAGTTGTAATGAGCAGGAGTGCCGGGATAACGCCCAGATACCGGCCAGTACTGACGCACAATTATAATTTACACTTGTGATAATTAAGTCTTGTGAGTGCAGCTCCATGTCTACAGATTTAAACTATTGCGCTCAATGAAGAAGCAGAAAAAGAGGAGAGGCTGATGCAGCTTAAAGAAGCTATACCCGATTTTTTTTCTAAGTAGTTCATAAAAATGCTTTTTACTACATACAAGTTGTATCATAATACATCATTTAATTGAAAACTTGAGGTCATTGATTCAGCTGTGTAAGAATTACAAGCAGTGAAAAGTGCTGAGTAGAGTCTGAGCGGGCCGCTCGTTCTCCTCCGCTCACAGAACGAGCAGCGAACAGCCTGCGTCCTCTAGCCTCTACAGCGCTGCTTAACACCAGGGCTTCGACTTCAAAATTCGAATATAATTCTAAAATAAAAAATGATGAACAAAATAATTGAATAAAAAAATGTGAACAAATATTAGACAACCCTTGTAATTCGAAATGTATTTAATGACTGCAAATAAAATAGCTCTCAAAGGTTTCACCGGGACGTGCTAGGCAGGTAACAGCTAAGCTAGCTAGTTGTTTCATGGTAACTTCCGGGTTTTTCGCAATCGCTTTTTCTCACATTGAAACAGTATTTTTGTCATGAAAACTTTAACATCAAATTCTGAAATCATCCGTGCATGTGTGTTAAGGATGTATATGTGTACTGTATTGTCCGATTGACGTTTAATGGTGTTGATTGATAGATATGTAGTTGTTTATTGAGCGTGGCTAGCTCCGCTAGCTCCGTTGGCTTCTCTACACAGACGAGTGTGTAGTGACAGGTGCTGATAGCTTGTTGTACTTGCAAAGTAATGGCAGTATTTTACACACCTGAATTACAAACAGAGGTTGCATTGGGGCTGCGGTCATTATTGGTTTGAGAGTTCTGTTATCAAGAAAACATGATCGGAAGAATTGCTGCTGCTGCTTTGAGGAGCTCTATAACAAATTATAATTAAATATTAGACTATATTCTAAGGTTTTAAATTAATACATTCGGACGCGAAACTAGCGGTATTCTTTTACTTACATATTGTGTTAGCAGTGCGTTGCTTTAGTACCATTTCATCAGTGATTGTTGCACAGCTTACAAGAAGTTGCGCTAATGCTAATGTTAGCATATGTATCAGATCGCAAATAAAACTAGGTGGCTCTGTGTTATGAGAGCGTAGGGGAAATGAGAAGCCATTGAGCGAGTTGGGGGGCGGTGCTAAACATTCAAACATTGCAGAAACGGGTATAGCGCCTTTAACCTGGTCGTACCACACCATGGTACAAATTATACATATTATGGAAAAGATGATTAAGCAGAGTGTACGGATGGGTAAGGCCAGGCTAGATGCAGCTCTGTACAAACACTTGAACCCACACAACAAGTTACAGATGAGCTGTCACGGGGCTAAAATGCGCTTATTTATACTTAATATATAATGGTTTTTTTTATAAGAAAAGAAAATGGATCGGCAGCACGGCGCCTCTCTACACGCAGATATCCGATCCAGTATTTTTTCTGGTATCGGGCACCGATATCGATACCAGTATCGGATCGGTGCATCCCTAACCAACAGAATTAAACTTTCCAAAACCACACATGCACAGAGAGAATCCAAAATCATCAATTCCCAAAACAACTCAACCACGATGCAGACACACACACACACCAAGCGGAAAGTCTGACAGTTCTCTCCACACCTGCCACACTCGGCTGCCTTCAGGCCGCAAATACGTGACGATAAGGTAGAAGTGGGCAAGATTCAACAAGAGTGTCATCCCTACTGCTATAGCTGCTCCCAACGGTCTGTAATCTTGTTCCTGAACCTGCAGTGTGTGTGTGTGTTGGCATTGTTGTGTATTGTGTTCCATTTCCTTTTCTGAGGTCTGTGTTCTATGTATGCGATGTGTCGTGGAAATTAATCTCTCAGGGCTCAATAAAGTTTTTACAACTTTATAACATTTATAAAACCGCTTTCCAGATTCCATGTTGAACACAGCAATGTTTTGGTACCAGTTTTAGAAGTATTGTAATTATTGGATGAAATATTGTCCAGTTAATGTGATTGATTAGATCTAGCGCGTACCTGCTAATTTCTGCGTTCTTCTTGTCCAGCTCCGCGTCCTTGTGAGCGATGGCCTCCTCAGCTTTGGCCAGCAGCTCCCGACGCCGCTCCGCCTCCTTGCGCCGGGTCTCCTGCACAGCCTCGCTCTCTGCTCGCTCTCGCTGGTCCCTCAGCTCGACCAGCTCCTTCTCTTTGGCCTCCATCTCCTTCTGCGCCCTCCTCCTCTCCTCTGTGAGCTTCTCTTTGTGCGCCCGGTCCCTGTCCTCCAGCGTCCGCTCCATCTCCCGCATCCGGCTGGCCTGGCCGTCGGTCTGTGCGTTGTACTCTTGCAGCGCTGCGCACTTGCCGTTGGCCAGCTCCAGGTCGGCCCGTAGCTTCTCCGCCACGCCCTGCTGTTCGTAGAGCTGCAGCTTGGCGTCGCACAGCAGCTGGTCGGATGCGGCCTGCTGCTCGACCAGTTGCTTCTGCAGTGCGTCCATCTGCAGCTTCCCGCTCGCATCTTGTTCCAGTGACTTCTCCGCTCTGCGCGCCTCTTCTTCTAGCTTCGCTCTCAGCTGCTTGTTGTCCTTCTCTAGCAACTCCAGTTTGGTCTTAACGTCATCCAAGGACTTTTCTCTCTCCGCGAGCTTTCTACGCAGATGTTCAGTCTCTTCTTTGGATGCAGAATGCCGACGCAGTTTCTCATTGAGCTCGGCTAGCTTCTGTTCAGACATTAGCTTCTCCAGAGCCAGCTGTTCCCTAGTGCTCACCAGCTCTTGCTCCGTGTGCGTGATTTGGTTGGACTTGCGCTTGTTGTGCTCCTTCTCTGAGGCGAGGTTGGCACGCAGTTGGGATAGCTCGTCTTTGAGCTGACTGGCGGAGGACACAGAGGTCTGCAGCTCCTGTTTGGCGCGGTCTGCTTCCTGGGTCAGTACGTGGATGCGCTGAGCTTTGTCCTTGACTTCGGAGGAGAGCTGGTCGAGCTGCTTCTGAGCCGCCTGGAGCTGAGCTGAAACTTGCTCGTTCCGCTGAGTTTCACTGGAAACCTGCAAAGAAATACATTCACAGAATCAGTGCATAACAAAACAGGACTGGGTAGTTATCTGGTAAGAAAATTATCTTTTAACTTATCAAAAACAATCCCCCCACTCCCCCTTTCCAAATGCTCCTTCAACGCAATATGAAAATATTTCATACTTTCAGTAATTAAGCGTTGTCAATTAGCCTAAACAATGTTAGATTTAGATCCACCCATCAATCCTTGTTCTATGCTTTTTCTAGGGCTGTCAAACGATAAAATTTTTTAATCGAGTTAATTACAGATTAAAAATTAATTGTAATTAATCACATTTCAAACTATTGGCAAAATTATGCCAATAGTTTTGCCAATAGTATTGTTCTGTAAATTGTTGTTTGAATGGAAAGATAAATGACAGCTTAGTGAACATATGTACTGTATTTGTTTGTTATAACAATAAATCCATATAAAATGGAATTAACATTATTAACATTCTGTCTTTCTGTTTAGACTCAGACCAAAACCATTGTTTGTTACAGATGAGGGACATTTCAAAATAGTCTGAAATGCAGAATGTCATTAAATCTGTTTGATTTGCTCACACCATTACTATTTTGGCACAACTAACATGAACTGATGGTCGAAAGGAAAATTAGGTACCTCAGCTTTAATTTAGCGAGTTCACTTCGGGAGAAGGCACGGAGGAGACTGAGGCTCCGCAGTCCAGCTTCAGCGCTGCAAATATTGTGTGCATCGGTTCCGCAAAGACACGTACGCACACTAGAGAATAGTTCTGTGATAGTTCTGTGCGTGGTCTTGGATATGATCCCATTACGCAGCGCTGTTCGCCGTGATCACAGCCGCTGGAAGTGGTGCTGCTGTCCAGAGCGCTGTGGCGCCCGCAGCTCATCATGCAGAGTTCATACAGGAAACAACAAGTGCCCCGCGGTCACGCGTGTATTCTTTCAAAACTTGAATTCCCAGAGGGCCTACCTGCTCTGTCCCCATCTTACACACGCGCATGTGTCCGCGGCATTCTGAGTGTTATTATGGGACGCATGGGCATGCGTCAAATGCGTTAATTTTTTAAACGCAATTAATGAGAAAAATTAATTAATACTTTTTACTGGAGAATATTTACTTTTTCCATTCCAAAGCATTTCTTGTTTTTGTAGTGTGAAGTCTTTTCTCATTATGTTAAGTGACAAAATGAATAACACTAACTGTACTCTCTGTGTTGGTTGTATGACCTGTAGGACAAAGCACTTTAAATGAGCTTGTTCCTCCAGGTTTGAGCGGTCGTACCTTGCTCCCCGCAGCCTGCAGTTGGCTCTTCAGCTCGTGCACCTGTGCGCGCAGCTCCTCACACTCTCTGGCTTTGGCCTTGTTCTTCTCTGCGAGTGCTGCCAGCTGCTCCTCAGCGTGGTGCTGGCTCTTGTGTTTGCTCCTCTCCTCCTCCAGGGTTGTGAGGAGTTTCTCTTTGGCACGCCGCTCCTCCTCTCTGCTCCTCTTTTCGTCCTGAAGAGCGCAGGCCGTGTCCCGGTGGCTGTTCTGCAGATCGCTGAGGGCGCGCTGGGCTTGTTGGCGCTCCTTCCTCTCGGCCTCCAGAGAAGCCAGGGCCTCCAGTCTCTCGGAGGTCTGACACTTCAGCGCTGAGAGAGCTTCCTCCTTGGCCGTTTTCTCCTGGTCTGCAGCTGCCTGGGCCTGCTGAGAGAGGCGAGCACAGAGTGTCACAGTCAGCTGTACCAGTTTTGGTACAGATCAGTAAATGATCATCTTTGTTAGCAGCAACACCGTACTTGTGTGTAATCATCTTTGTTGTTGTGTTGCCTACAAAAGGTGAGCACCTAAATGTGGTTCTGTTTGTCGAGCAATTGACCTCAATATTCCCGTCAAGATTGAGATTACCAATGATTTGTTTGTTGTGACTATGTACTTTTAGTGGTAAGGGAAACTGGAGTACCCAGAGGAAACCTACCCCGACACAGGGAGAACACATTTGTGTCTGTGAGAAATAAAAAAAAACATTTGCTTCTTTCAACCCCTTTTCGAAACATGTACTTCAAGAAAGGTTGCTCCCTGTCATGTGTACTTCAGTTCGCAGGTTTACGAGGAACAGCAGGAAAACCTCTAACTGTACTTTGTTTTGAATAATCCCTGTACAGAGTTTACACATGTACTTGTGATATAGATACTGTATGTGAAAATGTGTTGTGCAGGTTCAAACATAAATATATATTTTTTAAATATACAATTTTAATAAAGAACAAGAAAAAAAACATCAAAAAAATGTAAATTAATGCAGATATTTGAAGGATTGCTCAAAGACAAAGACCTGGTTGGATGCATTCCTACAGCGTTTTTCTGGTGTAGATTGGTTCACTTTAACGGTGCTAATCTGGTGATGTAGAGGCATGGAGCATGTCCAAGCAGCTCATAATCCTCATGCTAATCCTGATGCCTGTAACCTGCAGCCTGCAGCTTTACACATGTATTTATAGAGCAGGCACTGCTCCTTAAAACAACTGTTCCCCCGTGTCCCATGGGACTGCTGCCCCCACGGGACTCAAAGAGATGTTCTTCCAACTTGTTGAAAACAATAAGTTAGCCACTTGAGGGAGGAAAATAATTCTTCAAGTAACTCGATTACAAAAAGTAAGTAATTTCCGCTGCCTCGAGGCTTTGTTTAGTTTTATGTTACATTTTGCCTTGTTTAAAAAAAATCTTGGTCAAAGGTCAAATCGAAAATGAAACATCTAAAAATGGCTTGAATTTTCCTTTTGATGAGAAAAAAGAAAAACGTTTTGATGCAAAAATATTGAATAATTGTTTCAGGCCAATATGGTTTTGATTTATAGTTTTGCCGCAACCGGAAGTTGGCTGTGCACCATTATTTTCGTCCGGTTGAAAACAGCAGAAAGCAGGCAGCATGCACAGCCAAAGCAACGGAAAGGGACATTTTTCTTATTTTAAGGATTCTTTGACTCGTTTTGTGGAGCTCAACTGTATTTTCCACAGAATCTTGCGCAGTCTTTATAAAAGAGAGACAATACTGACAAGTCATGGATGAACGGTTGTAAATATGTATTTGTGTGCTCTTCATACTGCTCTTTTATTCTGGATATATTTACGGATCATGTGTGTTGATGTGAATAACATGCACATGCTGACACACAGACAAGAGTGAATAAAGTATAACCACCATAACAATTTATATTACCAGTAATCACATGTACTAACAATTATATTGATCAGTAAATGTTCTTATAAGTATCTCCATAAAATGTTCTTATATTATCAGAAAGCATAAGGGTCTGCATAATAGGCCTTTGTTATATGTGTTAGTGCGGTCAGTGAGAATTCAAGGACAGGCTGGTCTCTGTGCAAAAGTAACCATTTCAGGAACGATGTGTCTGCTTCGTATGAGACAAAAATCCGGACCAGGCCAGTCTCGGGGACTGAGGTGTTAAGGAGCCCATGACGTCTTCGAGGGACGAGTCCTGATCTTCAGCACATTTATAAAACTGTATTATGTAGAAATTGTGAACTAGTCTGGACAAGGGACCTGCAGTATAAAGTCAGAGCGCCTGACTTTATACTCATATATAGATTTGAGAGGGAGAGCTAACTAAGTCTAGACCGCTGTTTAGACTCTTTGTATCAGGGAATAAACTCTTTGGATTTAACTTTTCGAATACTGGTCATCTTTAAATGGGATTTTGAACACGTCACATTTTTTACAATAGTGTGTACAAGTTTACTTTACTAAAAATAAATAAATATTGCTCATTTGTATTCTTGTACCGGATTAATGTGAACCTTTTGAGGTTAGAGAACAGATCAACTGTTTGCCACAGCACCTGGAGTTATGTTAAAGCTGCACTAACTGATTTGGAGAAAATTTCCCTCTCTCTGCTCGCCCTCCCCGCACCCACGGAGCTTTCGCCCCCCACTACCCCCCTCCCCTGCAGCCTGTGCTCTGTGCTGTTAGCATCGGAGCTAGCTTCTCACAATATTGAACAATATGGCACTTTTGCATGTGGATGGCGTGACCATAGAATGACAGAACCGGGAAGCGCGGAGAGGACGAGACTTTCTTTTGGATGGATGTTTCGCTGTGTAAGCAGTAACGAAGACACACGAAGTTTCAGGTTAGCCTGTGCTAACACAGCTGTCTGTGCTAACCAGAGACCTGTGGCTTTTCTCACGAAAGTGGGGGCCAGTGGTCCGCTGTGATTGGTCACAATCTGAGACCCGAAACACATTCTCTTTGTTTCATCAAAACTCGATCTAAAATATAATGTCATGCCAGCACAAACCTGCGCTACTTATTCTTCAAAAGGACGTATATTCCAATGCACTGCATGGATATGGATTGCATTTTTGTAATTAATACAAAAATAAAGTCAGTTAGTGCAGCTTTAAACCTTATGAATACGTATTACCTCCATTTAGTAAACTTCAAAGCGAGACATTACACCCAGACTTATCTTAACATTTAGCTCAATAGCTACAGATTGGAGCTCCAATCTAACATTTTCAGGTTGAGACTGAACTCACTTGAGGAAATGGGGGAAGCTGCTCTACACCTGCTTGGTTTGATAGGAAACCTGCAGCCACAGCGGCTCTTTAGGAATGAGTTTGATACCCCTAGATATTACATTTATTTCGTTAATGTTTTAAAAATGTTACCCAACGGTACAGTTAAAGTCAGGTCCTATAGGTTGTGCTCAGGTTGTATTGTTCTGTTTCAGTTGAAGCCAATATAAACGTTGCCTAAACTTGCCTTCTTCAAATGCTTTCATTCCATTTTGTAACTTGTCTTATTTGTTTCCTTTCACAAATATCTGCTGTTGGAATCTTTACCTATTGAGCTAAATGTTAAGATAAGTCTGGGTGTAATGTCCCCCTTCGAAGTCTGCTAAATGGAAGTAATACGTATTCATAAGGTTTAACATAACTCCAGGTGCTGTGGCAAACAGTTGATCTTTTCTCTAACCTCTAAAAAGGTTCACATTAATCCGCTACAAGAATACAAATGAGCAATATTTTTATTTTAACACACGATTCGTAAATATATTAAGAATAAAGCAGCAGTATGAAGAGCAAGATTCTGTGGAAAATAGAGTTGAGCTCCACAAAACGAGTCCAAGAATCATTAAAATAAGAAAAATGTCCCTTTCCGTTGCTTTGGCTGTGCATGCTGCCTGCTTTCTGCGGTTTCCAATCCATGTTCTAACCAGACAAAAATAATGGTGCACAGTCAACTTCCGGTTGCGGCAAAACGAAAAAACAAAACCATTATTCAATATTTTGTTTTTTAATGTTTTTGCATAAAGACAATTTTTTCTTTTTTTCCTTTTCCTCATCAAAATTAAAAATTGAAAATTCAAGCCATTTTTAGATATTTCCTTTTTGATTTTAATTTGAAAAAACCATTGAACAAAAAATACACATACTCAAAGCTCATGTTTTGGACAGATTCTTTTTGTGTTGCACAACGTAAGTGCGCAGTGATAAAGCAGAAAGGTTTCAGAACAGTAGGAATGAGGAGCACACAGCACCAGATGTGAACAATAACTATAATATCACAAAATATCAAACTTTAGCATAAAAGTATAAAATACTAATATAGTCTATGCAAGAAATTATATTATTAGTTGGTTTGTCATTTGATATTGTTTATTATTAAATATTTGATAACTGCTCTAGACAACGAACAAATAGTTCCAGTCTCCTTATCATCACTTGCGCTGACTACAAACTTTTGTTGCCACTACAAAACCCTCAATTGCATGTAAAAAAAACAACGGATATGCTCAAAAAGATTGCATTCGGTCATTTGGATTTATCTTTTTGGTAAATTAAGCACTGCTGCATTGATGTCAAGGACCAGAGCTTTGTGCTTGAGCTGTGCAGACTGAGATGGTGCGTGGTACCTGCAGTTGGGCTGTGGGGGGTGGCTCCAGTGCGCTCTGCTCCAGGCTCCTCTGCAGCTGGGACACCTGCTTCTCCAGAGCGCTCACCTGGAAACTCTTCTCCTGCAGCTGCTTCATGAGGGAGGCTCGCTCTGAGGACTGCCCACTGCTGTCACCTGCACACACAGGGATCAGACACACTTCAACATCAGGGAAACTACTTTTACACACAGGGAGCCCTGGATCTACAGCCTCAGTCCTGGGTCCTGGGTCTACAGCCTCAGTCTTGGGTCCTGGGTCTACAGCCTCAGTCCTGGGTCCTGGGTCTACAGCCTCAGTCCTGGGTCCTGGGTCTACAGCCTCAGTCTTGGGTCTACAGCCTCAGTCCTGGGTCCTGGGTCTACAGCCTCAGTCCTGGGTCCTGGGTCTACAGCCTCAGTCCTGGGTCCTGGGTCTACAGCCTCAGTCCTGGGTCCTGGGTCTACAGCCTCAGTCCTGGGTCCTGGGTCTACAGCCTCAGACCTCAGGCCTGGATCTACAGCCCATCAGGGAGCGGACAATTTCTGGACAGTGGTCATCTCGCTGCCTACAGAGCAATGGCTCCTATGCGTTTATTATTGCATTTCCTGTGTTCAAACTGTTCAAAGTTCATCAGTTGTTGAGGAATCATCAACTTTGTCCTACAGAGCGAGGACACAATACAATGATTTAAGGCAATACACAAATATATTGAATTATACCCTTACCAGAGTATTTGGACACGTGCTCCTCCAGCCGGTCGAAGGCATGGCTCCTCTCACCCATGGCCCCACTCAGGTAGGCCTCAGGGTAATTCTCCATCTCTGCCAGTTCAGCAGTGAAAGGGTCCTGGAGGATCACAAACATACATCACAGCTTCACAAACACACATGTCCCTAGAGGAATTTGCAGCCAGAACTTGTCAAACTACAACAGTGAAAGCCGTGGGTGTAATGAGCTGATTAGGAGCAGAAGATTTCATTAAAAGCAACTTTAAAAAGTCACTGCCGGAGGACTACAGTAAACATGCCTCTCATTAAGCAAATGGTTCAGCTGCCAATGTGTTGAAGACATTTAGGTCATGCACTCTGGGCAACATGGACGGGTGCCATGTTTGTTGTGACAGGAGAGCAACACTCTCAGTTACTGCAGCCCTGGAAACTCAGTGGGTAGAGCAAGTTTGTCCTCAGCGCTTCAGACATAACCATCACTGGTAACCATCGACTGACCGCAGGTTGGCAGACCTAAAGCCTTGTCCCATTGGTGATTGCTGCAGTGTCCTTGGCAAGACACTTAACCTCCAGTGTCTGCGTGTGTGTGTGTCCTTGATGTCAAGTGTTTTGAGAGCCTGTTAAATGTGAAGATTTCAATTTTCCCAGGGAACTTTTAGATGAGAAGACTGGGAGGAGAAAACATTAATAGTTCACCTTTGTAATCAGAAAACAGAGCCATTTTGGAAAGGAGCCATTTTCATCAGTTACATGCAGGATTACGTGCCATGAGGCTAGGATATAAGTTTGGACCCAACTTATTTGTTGTATGAATGCCAGACCAGGTTATGCTTAGTTTATCGTTTACATACTGAGAACTGATTGGCTGAGGGTGGTGGTCTCCTTTTCACTTTTCAATCAGAGCAAATGTGTGACAGAGGCCAACTATACATGCTGGAAAAACTAGTGATAAAGCCAAACAGTTTTGATAGTAATACGACAGATTTATAACAATTCTTGATAAAGTGGTGTAGTTTTAGATTTAAGTCCATTTCCACACACACTTAAAAAGTCTCAAGTTAAGCGCAATACTTCAATAGCCGTTACAAACTTGTATGTAGACAAAACATTTAAATACTAATGTAAAAGCCTCACGGTTCCCATCTGTGACAGAGTATGTGTCTATCTATGGTGTGGTATATGGACCGGAATAATGAGGAGACAATAGCCTGCGCGAGCTCATTCATCCTGCTGCTCTGGACTGGCCAAAGTTTACAAAAGTGTCAGCACTGAAGACACTGCTGAGGTAAGAGGTAAAACACAAAGCTTTTCTCCGTCACTTATGATGATTTAGCTGCTTTAGAGGCTCTCTGTCGTGACATAAGCCGCCTGCAGCTTTAGCTACGTATAGCCTATAGCATTAGCAGTGACAGCTGTGGTTGGAGGACGCCATTCACTGTATTGACCCCATTTATCGACTCCATCAAACCCCACATGTTCCGAAAACACATATGCACAGCTGTCATCAATACAGACCACAGCGCGCTCACCAAACAATGACAGCCGTCTGCTGCAGGGCAACGCACAGTTCATGCACTACAATTGGATACTGTGTATACTGTACTGTTGGAATTCAGAAACTCATCGCAGAGAAAAATTAGACCAAATTTAACTTGCTTTGTGGGAAAAATGTGTCTCAATTAAATTCAATTTCTTGTATAACCCTAAATCACAACAGTAATTACCTCAGAGGACTTTGATTCTCTGATGTGTGCTGGAGAATCCAACGGTTTCTTCAAACACAATATATTTAGTGAAATAAAAGAGCCATCGGTCCATAATGGGCAGATAACCAATGCTCACAAATCTTGTTAAATGTTGTTGAATGTCGAGTGTTCTATGTATATTGACTGAAAGCTGGGTCACTGTGCGCAGCGTGATAAATGCACTTGGAGCATATTACGGGACGACGAATGCTTTTTAGACGAGGCGGCAACAGGAATGCGAGTGAAACGAGCCTCTGGGTGGAGCGTCCTCTCCACTCCACAGGGTCCTGACTCCAAATTACAGCACGAGGATAAATGGCACAGAGCTTTGATTTTAAAGCCAAATCTGGAAGCACTTAAGAGTTGGGTCTATACAAGGGGAGACCATGGAGCTGCGCTGATGCCGTTCAAGCCAGAAAATCAAATATATTTAAAATTTTTGTGGGCTTTTTAGCGGGAATATCCAAATGTTTTTATTTGATAATTGATTATTTTACTGATTATTCTTTCCAGTTAATGAATTAGTTGTTTAAAATGTGACAGTAAAGCTAAAGCCACCAGATGACATGCTGACAAACAAAAAACCTAAACATTTAGACAATATCCAAATCATTTTTCACGTTGCTGCTCTCATTTCTCAGCACATTCATGATTAGAAGTTTGTGTATCTAGCAGTTAGCGATTAATCAGTATACTAAGATAATTCTCGATCATTGGAAAAACTGGCTTGAGTTTAGCCAATAATGTGTGATCCAGAACGTCACCCAGAAACAGCTCTACTCTTACTGTTACAAAGTTGTTGTTACTTCTAGGGTAAACTCTTAAATACGTGTAGTTTCAGGGATGCTATTGTTTGTCCGTTCAGCAGTGTTGGTTCATATATCTGGTATTGACAGACATTGAAAGCCAAAGGATTGAGATCGTTACGGGACGTGTAAAAGTCAGACCAGTGCCTGCCTCCAGCTGTAGTCATGACATCAGTGACCAAGCCATGAAAGCCTTTGTATGAGAAGGTTCAACATTTCAGAATCTTTAGAGAGTGTGGTAGGCCTCTGACGTCATTGAGTAGTAGAAGATGAAAGCAGCCTGTGATTGTGAAGAAGTAGTTGTGTAGTAATAGACTCAGAACAGAAGTGGAGGTGGGTGTGTGTTACCATGGCGGGGCTGTCCCGGTCGTGGCCTTCTCCGGACAGCTTCTGACTCAGGTTCTTGAAGATCTCCAGGCGTTTCTCTGCTCTCTCCTCCAGGATGTCCCTCTCGCGAGCCAAACGGTCACTGTGCAGCGCCACAGTTACATAAGCAATGAGAGCATGCGGCGTAATCTCCTCCTACCCACCCAACCTACCCTACCACCGCCTAATCTCTGCCCTAATCCCCCCACAATCCCACGCAAAGAAGACCTCACGCTTCACATGCTGGCGTGGGGGGGGGGGGGGGGCTGTGGTCAGAGGGGACTTTTGAGGAAACAAAACAAAGAAGGCCAGCTGACATGGACACAGGGGAGTATAAAGGGCTAGAGAAAGCATCAACATGGTGACCTACTTCATTATTCTATTTTTTTGCCCAGTAATGAAGCTTAACTTTTACATCATAGCTTTACCAATGCCCATGAGCTAAATTATTGTTTTGTTGAGTATTTCACCTACTCAACAGACAGAACCAAGAGTAGTTGCAATTTTTAGTCAAACCTTAAATACATCTAAAAATATCCGTTCATTTATGACTTTAATTCAAACATGAGCTGAAAGTGACAGTTTTCAATGATTTGGAAACTCAAAATTATCAGTAAGGAATCTTTATCAATGTTGTGAATCAACAGTATTTCTGGAAACGCAAGATGGCCGCTACAATTGCCACAACAACATAACTGACTTTCTCTAGCACTGCGTCTGCCACATTGTGATGTAGTTTTCAGTTTGCGTTGGGCAGAACTTCTTTACAGATAGAGCTGTGTATAAGACGCATTAAGGAACAGTTGAGTTTATCCAAACGACATACTTTCCAGTGCACTGCACAAGTTGACGGACAACAAAGAAAAAGTGGAAAGGGCCAAGGTCGCTACGAATGTTGCACTGGGACTGTAATTTAGGCAAAATTATCGCAAAACCAACCACTTCATCCTTTAAACAGGGGTCTCAAACTCAGTTCAGCTGCAGTCCTCTAGAGGTCCAGTCTGACTGAGAAAAACCTTGGGTAGCTTAAGAGATGCCAAAGTACCTCTCTATTGTATTTAGGGTTCAATGTGTTAAGAATAATCTGTGTGTTTGATTAACTTATCCTCTGCTTTGTGCTTCCTTTATCAACTTATAGGGATTCACAGTTACAATCATTTCACTGTTACTGCATCATGTTTGGCTCTTGTCCTGACTGTTGTAAAAAGGTGCAGGCAAAGGTGTTAGGGCGCCCTCTGCTGGCTGGAACACACCGGTACAAGGACAAACCAACCATGAGCCGGTCACATCTGGAGCTCTAAAGAAGAGTTCTAAGAGGGATTTCCCACGAAGTACTTGACCTGGTAGCTGCCCATCCATTCATGAACCCACTCTTTAATTGTTGTTTTTGCAGCCTCTGGTACAGACTTTTGTACAGTACAGGATCATAGGGCTATATCACAAAATAAGTGTTTCATATCAGTCAATATTGATAATTATTGATTTGCCTTTTTTTACGTAAAAAGGTATTTGTCGTGTTCCGAGTATGGAGTAAGAACGACGACCTTGCAAAGTTTGAAAACCACATTGACTCGTGTCAAATTTAAAAAGTAGTGCCCAGCTGGTGACATGACGTTTCTGCAAATTTAAATTAGAACAGCAAATATCAAATACTTAGGTAATCAAATATTCTATCTAATATCTCGGTCTTTTTTTAATTAAGGCTTAATTATAAATATCCAATATCCACTTAATGACAATGATATATTCTGGCGCTAGAATGTACAATATTCTATAAAGTATTTTATTCTGCTTCTTTATTCTGCTAAAGTTAGGGAAAATATATGAACTTCTGCAATTAAGAAGTTCATATCGTCAGACGTCAGTGTTGAACTGAGTCTTTAAAGGAAAACCTCCGTGCGTTACGGGGCTTCATTCGCCCATCACTACTATTGTGGTATGCTAGCTCCAGGTTGCAATATTTGCTACTACTGTATTTATCTTTTATTTTAGTGTGAAGTGCTGCCACTTTGGAAACTGTTGAAGCTTCTTAATTCCCACATTTAGTTGTAGCTCTCTTTAAATGTGTTGCTCTTGCAGTCTTTCAGTGTGAGCTAAGTACAGTTTGTGGAGCCATGTGGGCGAAAAAGTTTAACAAACACAAGCGAAGAGAGTATTAAAAAGACCGGTGCTGTGTTGTGTAATCTGTGCTGTAAACACGTTGTGCCACATGAGCTTTGACTACGATTTATCAAACAACCAAACTACACAAAGCCTCGAGGCAGCAGAACTACTCTAGTAACTCAAGGAATTGTTTCAGCTCCAATTTCAATTTCCGCTTGTGCTAGCAAACTCATTCGTCCTCGGTAACCAGCCGTTGTTGCTGCTGTTTTTTTCTTGTTGCATTACCCAGGAGGCCTTTGCTTTTATGCTCAGCCGTGATAGGTCGAGAAGCCTCTGCCTCCTTCCCCCAGAATAAACATGAGTTAAGCATCTGCATGTTCCTAATGCTGAAGTAACACATACTCGTAGTCCTGCTGCATGCTGCTGAGGATGTGGGACACCTCTCTGCTGATCTCTTCCCTGATCCTGGACTCCATCCCCAGACTGTCGGCCAGCTCCTGCTTCAACTGGAGCTGCAGCTGCTCCAATAGCGCCACCTGGCTCTGGGAGACAACAGCACACGGTATACCTCATCAGAAGATTTCTTAAACACCTACTACTACATACGACTAACAATTTAACATATTGAGGCCGTGTGCGTCAGTGTGTTTGGGATGCACCTTTTAGATTTTTTGTGTGACATTTTTCAATCAACCATAGAATTTCAAATACGTAATGGCATGGCACGTATTCAGTCATTGTGATGAGGAACTATGGTGTAACAACGTTAAAACCAAAACGACAGAACAGTTATTACTCATTTCTAAACTGAGAAAGACATTTTGTTAGAACAGATCAGTATTTACAATGAAGAAAAGACAGGTTTGTTAAACATGACTCCACTTTTTGGATAATGGAGGCAGCAGTCAGACCACACACTCACTCAGAGCGGCTCAGAGGGGATCCAGAGGTGCTCCCAGGATAACTGAGGCATAAATACAGTCTCTTCAACATGTCCAAGGCCTTCCCTGGTGTCTCTCCTGGTGGACAAACCGAGAACACCTCCTCTGCTGGCTCATCTGAATCTAGTCTTTGTTATTGCAGGAGATAATGAAGTCTGACCTGGTAGATCTTTTTAGAAATGAGGATTTTGTCGTGGTGCTCAGAGCTCTCCTCCAGACTGCTGCACTGTGTGGTGTCCTCCAACTCGTCTGCTGCATCCTCCTGAGAACAGGCAACACAAGTCACCAACAAGAAGCAACAACTTCAAAAACATCACACACTATGACTGCATCTCTGTGGAGGAAAGACGACAAGACGAGCTTTTGCTGCTGGTAAAAGAAATAAGATCCATAGCAATAAGAATCCAAGCAAAACACTGGTGTTTTTTCCATGTCATTCAAAAACTGCTTTAAGTCATATTAAACTAAAACTTGGAAAGAGGGCTTAAAGTGCCCCCCTTACTGATCTAGACACCGAGTATGTGTGCATTTAGTAAAACACCAGTGGGAATGTCAGGGGAAACGGCTACAACTGTGACCAGTTGAGTTAGTATGAGAACTATTGCATGAGGAGTTTCTGTGACCTGCACGTCCTCCAGGCTGCAGTCCCACACACTCAGCTCACTCCTCCTCCTCTTCTTGGGCTGCTCCTCACAACTGTCCAGCAGAAGAGACACATCACTAGACCACCGCTCCGGAAGCAGCAGCTGGCTTTTGGAGTTCAGCACCACCACCTGAAACCACAAGGAAACAATCTGTAGTCTTACATTCAATCAGATCATTTTTAACAGTCCCAGCTCCTCTCACACATCCTTCACCGTCAGGGCCAAGCTGGGGCGAGCCATAATAGTGAAGACATACATAATCATAATGTAGTATTTAATGCAGGCGACTAGGGAGATGTAGAGGGAGCAGCGTGTGCAGGCAAACCTCTTTAGACCGTCGTCTACACACTGCATCCCGCGCTCCTTGCACAGTAAGGTGAAAGCGTGTGTGTGTGAAAGCGTGTGTGTGTGAATGTGTGCGTGTATGTATTTGTGCAACTAAATGTGTGCGCATCAATGTGTGCAAATGCATGCGAATGTGTGTGAAAGTGTGTGTGAAAGTGTGAATGTGTGCGAGTGTGTGTGAAAGTGTGCGAAAGTGTGAGTGTGAACGGGAATGTGTATTTGTGCGCGAGACTGCGCATTTGTGCGCGTGCTCTTGCGTGTGTGCACGTGCTTGTGTGCGTACCTTCTGTGCCACCGCAGAGAAGCGCAGCACGTTTAGAGTCTCGTCGTGCACCGAGGCACTCTGGTTGATGTTGACGATCATGCAGGCTCGGCCCCGCCCACACAGGAAGCTCTGCAGGTAGTGAGTCAGCTTACTCTCCCGGAACGGAACATGCTGGAGCAGTCTGCGCGACAGTGAAGGTCAGACTTACTCCCATGTGTACGTGTTTATAGATGAGGCCGCAGACAACGGTTCTGATCCAGGCATCAGCAACATTTCAAACCCAAAGAGCTGGCAGAGAGCGACTGCTTTAAGAGTAATTAAAGGTGAGATCTAGCCGTAGGTAATGTCACTTTCAATGGTCATTATTTAAAATGAATTACAAAATTAGTTCTCTGGCCTCTCCCTCGCTCTCTGGTCTACTGGTTTGCTTGGTTGGAATGAAATCCTGCAGCAACACGGCGCTGTGAGGACCAGTTTGACAGCCCTTGCTTTAGACCCGACCGCATCTGTGTAGAATAGATGTGCTGTGAAAAGCTGCATACTTTGCCTGTTGGTTGTGGCGCAGTGCCGTGATGCATTTGCCCAGAATGTGGAGGGAGGAGTTGATGTTTCCGGCTTCTTTCAGACGCTCCCCTTGGTTCTGGGTTTTGGCACATCGCTCTGATCCGGCCAGGTCACACAGACACAGCCTGGACGAACAGTATTTACACTCAGTGAAAGAGTTAGAGATTTTATACTTACTTACATACTTCTTTATTTTCTGAAGATGGAGATGTTATACTTGCTTCTTTACTATACTAAAGTTAGAGATTTAGTTTTAGTTCCATTTAGTATGGTTATTAATTGCTCATCTTGTGTTATGTGCTCTTCATTCCCTACTGTTCTGTTACTGGTGATGCAATAAAATAGAAACATTAAAAACAATGGAACCGTACAAGGTATATGGGGTAGGAGCTTTTAAGTTTGGCTTCTTCCCACTCCATTTGAAGCTTTGTCAAAGGTAACGCTGAAATGTATGAATGTCTGTCTGTATCATAAAAAATATGTAAATACTGTAAATTACATTCCTGTTTTTGAAATAAAAAATACAAATACATATTTTAGGCATCAGTGGGCAGTAGGGCTGGGCAATTTTGCCTAAAAAAAAAATCTCCGATTTTTAAAAGAAAAATTCAAGTTTCGATTTGATTTTCGATTTTTTTTTCCCAATGCACTTAAAAATGACTGGAGACATCAGATATATTGTCAAAAGTGCAAATTTATTGCTGTGATTGTCCTCAAGAGTTAAAATGCAAGTAAATGAGGCTCTGTTATTCAACAATTTCAAGCTTTAACCCAGGTTTAAGCAAAAGTGCAACATCAACTTCACAGTAGCTTACATTTTCTGATTAAGAAATCAGATAACTACATATTTTGTAACATATAACATTACAATAAAAAAATAAAATAAACTCTTCTCTTAGCCTCTCAGCATAATGTGAATATAAAAAAAATTAAACATGCCTGTGGCAGACATATAGCTACTAACTAACTACTTATCAAAGGATAAACAAATGTAAACTTTTATCTTTAACAACAAAACATTAGATCTCTGAAATATTGTGCATGCTCATTCTAAGCATTTTTTGCAAGAAAGATGAGCCTGTCCACAACCACAGGTCCGTGGTGGCTGAGTAAAACGTCATCTCCCCCAGCTCACACCGCAGATCTTTTCACGAGTTGTATTGTACAGGTGAGGCAGCGCTACATCGGCGAAATACTTGCGACTGGGGACAACGTACTGTACCTCGCATCTAATACTTTTAACAAGCCCCCCCTGTTAAAACCCCCCCGGGGGGTCGCGGGAACCCCTGGGGGGGTCGCATGATGATTTCTACACAAACAAAAAAAAAAAGATCTTTTTTTTTTTTGAGCAAATATAAAGCTCTTAAATATTTATTTAGCATTTGATTTGATTCAAAAGGACTACTTGTTAAATTGTGTTTGGAGACTATAATATATTTTAATAACGTTAGTAATTTTGTCCCAGTCATTGCAGCGTCAATCAAAATCATCACGTAACACAGCTCACATCATGCGCAGCGACAAAGCGTGTCCTGCTGTTGTTTGCTAAAACTAAAGGTGTTTGGAGGCTACAAATAAATAATACCCTGATACAAAGTCACTTGTATCAGGGGTCAGGCTGATGGTGCGAAGAGAGGGAGAGAAGGCAGAGGAGGGAGAGAGGGCAGCGGAGGGAGGGAGGACAGCGGTAGAACAGCGCTTTAAAGAGGCCCGGCTTTTCGGAGTCAAAGGTAAAGAGGTCCGCACATTAAAAGCGGGTGGCCGGTCTATGCCTTTACTGACAGTAACTTTGGAAAGAGAAGCCGCGGGGATGAACCGCATAATGTAACAGCAGAAAGCGGCCGCCCGCTTTTAATGTGCGGACCTCTTTACCGCTGACTCCGGAAAGCCGGCCCACTTTACCGCGGTAGGAGAACAGTGAGGGCGAGCCGCAAGAAATGCGCTCCACTTCTGCTGAGGAGGGTTAGCAGGGCATTTATGATGGGGGTCGCGGGCTAAAAACTTTGGGAACCCCTGCTCTACTACACGCTGCCATTCTTGTTTTGACTGTGTTTACGCGGCGGAGGGGGCTGGCTCATAACGCTCTACGGTAACCCACAAGGACGAAACGCAAAAAACTCAGAAAAAAAATTTGGTGAAAAAAAAACTCGAGTTTGCAAAATAAAAATCCTTTTAAGCTACAAAATCGATAAATCGATAAAATCGATTTTTTGCCCAGCCCTAGTGGGCAGTGAGTTCAGATCGATTGATGTTAAAGGTACTTTGCTGATCTATAGTATGTGTATGTAACAAATTCATAGTGAGCGACTTCCTATCACTTACAATGGCAAGAAACCATTCAAGTATAAAGATTTGGCTGTGAATCAGACAACCAGAACAGAGGAAACTGAAGTGAGGAGAAGACACTAACTCGCTGACGGCTGAAACTCTCTGCGTCCCCACGTCCTCAAGCCTCAGGATGCGGACGGAGAAAATGCTGTGGCTGCAGAACAGAGAGTGCGTTAGAGACATCTATAAACAAACGTCACACTGTTTTCAGCACGATACATCGCTAAGGAGCGCCACAGCAGCATCACAAACTTATATTTGTGATGGGGGGGGAGGTCCTCACTGCTCTGACAGAATGGAGAGGGAGGGGGAGAACAGGGATTCAAGGCAAGGCAAGTTTATATGTATAGCACAGTTCATACTCGAAATAAAAATAATTACTAAACAGAACTGTTTTTAACCTGAATTTTAACATTGTCAGAGAAGAAGCCTTTGTAACATTTTCAGGAAAACTGTTCCAGAATTTAGCTGCACGAATCTCAAATGCTGCCTCCCCGTGTTTAGTTCTGGGCACCAGCAGGAGGCCAGTCACTGTGCTGCTCAAGAGTTCGAGTTGGTTCATACCAACATGTCTCGGGTGTAATTTGGTGCGAGGCCATGAGGAGTACAGAGGCAGAGCAGTTTAAAAGTCTATCCACGCCGCTCTGACAGAGGAGGGGTAGGAGAGGTGTAGGGGAGAAGAGAAGAGAGGAGAGGGAAGAGGAGAAGAGAGGTGTAGGAGAGGAGAGGAGATGTGTAGCAGATCTGGAACATTCTTCCTGAAGATGTGAGACAGGCCTCCTCTCTGACAATGTTTAAAACCAAGTTAAAAACGGTGCTGTTTAACTGTGCATACAACTGAGGGATTTTATATTTTTATCTTTCTTTTTAATGTTCTGTGATTATTTATGATTTTAATGCTATCTTGTTCAGCACTTTGAGTTGCCTTGTGTATGAATTGTGCTATACAAATAAACTTGCCTTGCCTTGCCTTGCCAGAGGAGAGAAGAGGAGAAGGAGACCCTCACTGCTCCAAAGTTGTACCTGAAATCCTCAATGGCTGAATGCACTAAATTCTCTACCAATGAGTGAGGGACTATGTAGGGATTAGGGGCAGAGGGAAGGAGCGTAGGCCCTCGGCTACGGCCCAGTCAGACCCACCTCCTACTGGAGAGCTGGTTTAGTTTGGTGGAGGAGCAGCTCTGGTTCCTTTTGCCCAGGTGGAGCACTCTGTAGGCCTCCTCAGCAGAGTCCACATGCACCCAGCGCAAGTCTAAGCACAGGTTCAAGGGTCACATGTTTACAGCAACAAAATTACATTTCCTCGATTAATCAAATTATTGTCATTTTCATTGTATGTTTTATTGTTTACCTTCCATTTATTTGTAATTACTAAAATATTTTGGCAGCTTTGAATTAAAAACTTACAATAAACAGGAGAAAAGGGATTCTGCACATTTATTAACATTTCTGGACAGTGGTCATCCCGCTCCCTATGGACCAATGGCTCCTTTATGTTTGTTATTATTGCAATTCCTTTGGTTGGTGAATCCACAACTCTGTAAAGATTACAAGAATTTTCCAACACTGCCATTTATTGCAATATCGTTGCTGTAGTCATCATTTCATTTCCCAGCTCTACTGTGTCAAGAGGCCGTCTTTTTCCCTTTTTCCCTCCAGAGCCTTTAATATTAGGTTTTGTGGTTTTATAACCTTGACATGTTTCGACGGATAACTCCCGTCTTCCTCAGAAGCGTCTTGCGACGTTACACATGACGTGCCTTTTATCAGCTGCTGTTCCCAGGCGCAGTCAGCCCTGGGAACAGCTGCCGTCCAGTGGTGGTCGCTGGAGGCGTGGATCCCATGTACGGGAGAGTTGGTACGCGCCCTCGTCGCGATTCATAATGTCTGCGCCCTGTTTCCGGATTTCTATTGCTTCTTTGATCCATCTTTTATAATGTTGGGTTCTTGTTTTAGGATTCTCGTGTTGTCCCAGTCCATAAGGTGGTTATTGCGTTTGCAGTGGTCTGATTTTGCTGATTTTAGGTTGTCCTCTCGCGCCCTCCGTCTTCCTGTCCTGGTTAGTCGTATTCCAGTCTCTTTATCACATTCTTTCCGGTGTTCACTTTTTCTGGTGTTAAATGCCCTGCCCGTTTCTCCTATACATGTCTGCTTGCATGATTTGCATGGTATTTTGTATATGACGTTGCATTTGGAAGTTATCCATCGAAACATGTCAAGGTAAAAACACCACAAAACCTTATATCGTCTGGTATAGAAGAACCCAATACTTTTAATAATAATTTGGTAGTCCGACCCCTTAAGTGCACGCTTATCTAATTTGAAGTCAGATAAGCCACCCCGCCCTTTTTGCCTCAAACTGAGGAACACTGGTTAACACTCTCGCTTCTCAACAAGAAGGTTCTGGGCTTGAATCCCGGGACAGGCCCTTTTCTGAATGGGTTGATTTTGTTTAAGTGTAAGCCTCCATCATCCCCCTTACATACCAGGTGGACTTTCTGTCTACACCTTAAATGGCTCCTTAGTGTGCCTGCAGGTTAGAAATAAATAAACAAAACAATAGGTCAAATCATCCAGCTCTAGTCCTGACCAAGAGCATCAACATCTGGAGATGGTCCTCTGTTAATACGACAATGAAGTAGAACTTAACGGTGAAGCACAAGTGCTAACCGCTGTGTCACCGTGCCGCTCAGTAAAGACCCTGTGAGTGTGATTGGAGGATTTGGAGGGACTTCCCGGAGTCATGGATACCTTTGACAAAGCTGTGACCCTTGACATCCTGGGACAGCCGCAGCACGGTCCTCCTCTGGCTGCTGTTTGGGGGCGGCTCCAGCAGGTCATGGATGTTCTCCTTGTAAATCTCACAGAAGGACACCCAGACGGAGAAGCGTGTGTGCTGAGACAGACCCAGACTGACCCGGTCCTCTGAGCTCACTGCAGAGTCCCCTGGAGAGACACATATGTGCTTTGTGAAGTTTATGCTGATGTCATGCCATAACCCCATTACAACTAAGCTCGTTCAAGTTCTTTCACTTTGTTTTTAAGAAATAAAAAATTACTAAGAGACCCTTGTCATTTCAGGTTTTAGAATATAACAACATTTTAAGTAGAAAACATGGTGAAACAATGAAACTAATAAAGCAGAGGTTCATGTTCCAGAAGAACACAAAAGTCTCACCTTCATGCTGGGTCTTTAAGGTGGAGTTGAGCAGAGTAGTGTTCCTGTCCTGTGTGGAGAGAAACACACAAACAAGGGGTTAGTTTTGCTTCTCATGTTTTGCTGTTGGCGGAGGAGAGTAATAATAATAAAAATAATAATAGTAAGACGGACAACACAAAGACAAAGTGGAACAGTAAAATACAACATGTTAAGTTTAAACCTAGCAGTAAAAAGTTGTTTGATGAAAGTGGATTTTATGAAGAGAATCCTGATGGTGCGCGTCTTATCTCCTCGTGCAGGTTGTTCCAAAGCTGAGGAGCCCGGACACAGAAGGCTCCATCACCCTTTGTCCGGAGCCTCGACTTTGGAACAGTCAACGAGGACCAGCCCATTGATCTAGGCTGCAGGGGAAGGGCTTGTAGAGGGTTAAAAGCACATTATTATAGCTTGGAGTAAATCAGTAAAATCTTAAAATCAACTCTAAAACAAGGGTGTTGACTAATTCATGGAGATCAGGAGGAGTGAGAAGGTTTTTAATCTTTGAGATGGTGCGGAGGTGATAGAAACAGGAATGGGTGTTTTTTTATTTGGGAGCGGAAGGTGAGGTGAGAATCAAAAATGAAACCGTTACGGGCGGAGGGAGTGATGTTTGAGGACAGGGGGCCGAGGTGGGTTTGGATGTTTATTTATTTATTTATTTATTTGGATGTGGGATATTGAGGGGGACAGGTGGATGAGGAGGACTTCAGTTTTGGAGGTGTTGAGCTGTAGAACATTATGGACCATCCAACTGGTGACATCATTGAAGCCGTCGACAACAGCAGACTTCCAGGGTCGTTTGGTTTCAGCTGAAGGCTTACCTGTGTGGTGTCCACATAGCAGTGGAAGGACACATTATGACCATAGACTGTATATATTAATGGACAGAGTCACGCCTATCTCCGCCGTTCTAACTAATAGGCCAAAAAATGTGCTCTACTGGAGCAATCCAAAATGGCCGCGAGTGGTCCCGCCCACAAGAAAATTGTGAAAAAACGCATCTGTGCATGCGTCAGTCGGCGCAGCTCCATTCATTTGAACGAGAGACTTAAAAAATTCGCAGCAAGTAAACTAGAGTGGACCAAAAAATTCCACCCCCCTCAGCATTGACACACATGTGGAACGGAGCTTTGGGCCAAGAGCCAACTTTTGGTCCATCCTGTAGAGACGTTTTTGAGAGGTCTGCCAATGCTATATGTTAGCATTGGCTAATTCTTCTTCTGGGTCCACCCCCAACGACCCGGGGTGGTATTGCAGCATGTCAGCGCACGTCATTTTGGCCACTTTTGAGCTGGGACCCTCCCCCACTGGTTATGACGAGCCATAACAGGAGCATATAAATAGAAAATAAAATGGCACCTAAAATAGAACCTTTCAGCACACCACAGGTAATGGGGGCTGTTGAGGAGATAAAATTACCCATGGTGACCGCAAAAGGTTCTGTCTAAAAGATAAGAATGAAACCAACCAAGTGCAGTATCTCTGATGACAACCATCGTTTTGAGGCAATCCAATAAATAATTGTGGTCGTTCGTGTCAAATGCTGAGCTTAAATCTATGCTCAAAGATGTGGTTATCAATAAAATCAAAAATCTGAACAGAAAAAATGTTCCCTAAAACTTTGGATAAAAACAAGAGTTTAGAAATGGGTGTTAAAATCTGTAGTGCTTAAATTAGGTTTCTTTAAAAGTGGCTGGACCACAGCATATTTAAAACTGGATGGGAAAAGACCTTGATCCAGGGACTGACTGATGATTGATAAAATGGAAGGTCCAACCACATGAGAAATTTGGTTGGGATGACATCGAGGGTGCACGTGGTTGCTTTCATGTGGAATAAAACGTCTGATAAAAGAGAAAGGAAAAAAGACAAAAAAATTGGATAAAAAAATAAAAAATCCAGTTTCTCTGTTTAAAGTGATTGTCTGGAGTTTGTCAGAAAGAGAGAGAGAGGTACTTGATTTGAAAAAAAAAAACAACGCAAGCTCCTCCCCCTTCCTTTCTGATTGGTCTACACCTACGTTTCCGTAACACTTTGAAATGTTAATCAGAGAACACATTATACATATACATTATTAATACACATGCACGGAGGTTTTCAGAATTATTTGTGAACGTTTTAATGAAAAAAATAATGTTTTTATGCACAAAAAAAGCGATCGCGGCAAACCAGGAAGTGCTATTATTATGAATTGCACATTATAGGACACATCTGCAGAGGATCTGATTATGGATATAGGTTCAGAATATACATAAGTACCTCAGCGCGGATGTTCAGAATTTTTTGTTCAGTTTTCCTGTAGTTCCAGAGCCTAATAGAGGCTTGATTCGGAGGCTCCGCGAAAACAAACAACTGCGCGCAGCTGCGAGCATCAGCGCCGATGATTGACAGCCCTTGGCATGACTCGATTGGTTAACCTCGACGGCACCGTGGATTCTGACAGTGTTTTGCCAGTTCACAGCTTTTCTGAACTAGTTCAAGTTCAGTTCATACATGCTCAAAGTGAACAGTTCACGTTCAAAGTTCACATTTTTAATTCTGAACTAAAACAGATTCCAACGTTCGAAGTGATGTCTGCCGTTCATGACACATAAAATGAACTAATTCACGTTCAAGTTCTTTTTTTAAAATGCGTTGCGTTCAGTTCAACGTTCACGGAAAAATGAACGTGTTCAATGAACGCGTTCTTTTGAACTCGTTCACGCACAACACTGGATTCTGAACTATAGCTAAGACCAGGGAAGGCGGGACTTGCCCGTAATATTAGAATTAATAAAATGACTTATTTTATATCAACATTTAAGGCAGGGAGGTCAATTTAACACATTTCCTAAAATGTGTAATTCATTTAGAGTTACAGACTATCACTTTAAAACAATGGCTTGGCTAGGAACAGATATATGGGCCCAGATATCAGTTCTCTTTATGAAAAAAACCGATAAAAAAAAAAATATAAAATGATTTAAAAATCAGTGTACCTGCGCACACTGTTTGAAGAGGCTCCTCTTCAGCAGGATTTGCTCCAGCTGCTGCTGCTTGCTCAGTCTGGTGACCTCCCGGCAGCGGTGAGGTTTGATTGACACGTCGCTGCAGATGTGGCCCTCGATGCTGTTAAAGATGGAGCTCAGAGACCGGGGCAGGAGGCCGGCGTCTGCCTCTGGGCCTGGACAGACACACACTTTATCATATTTGTACAACTGTGTTCTGCTGGTAGAGGTCTGCATTTCCATTTACTGGAGAAACATCCACACATCCCTAAATATCAGGGTCAGAATTTATTTTATTGCCATTGTAGGAAACAGGAAGACACAAACAAGGAACATGCTTTGGCTTTATGAGTAAAAATAGTAGGGACGCACCAATACCAACACCGAAGGCTTGAACCCTTACTCGTACTTATACCATAAGACCCGATGCCGGCAAACCGATACCCACATGTTTTAATTACATTAGCGTCATGACAGCAGACAGCTGTGTTGCCATGGTGATCCCCCAAAGATGGGAGCTAGAAAACCGGCTAGCGGCAAGCAAGCTAGCAGCAAGCAAACTAGCTGCAAGCAGACACCCGACATGGCCGTGTTTTAAAGCAAACAGGAGTGATATGTGAAAGGGGAATGTACGTTGTGCAAGACTGTCACAAGGTGGGTCCAAACATGTAAAACACCAGTAACTTTATCAAACATCTGAAAACTCACCACCACACAAAGTATAATCAGAATCCTTTTTATTGCCATGTGAGTAACAGGAAGTCACAAACTAGGAAATTGCTTTGGCTCTCGGTGCAAACAAGTTAAATCAGAATAAAATCAAAGGCATGCATAAATAAAAATCTACATAGTGTCACTGTATGTTTCTACCAACGTGTGTGTAACACCAACCTGCAGGGGGTCTGCAGATGGAAATTAGCCTAAGGCTATAATCTGGCATATTACTCGTACTTATACCATAAGACCCGATGTCTTTGTGAAAATGTTCATTAAAATGTATTGTTCCTCATTTCTCAATTAAATAAATAAATGTCTTCGGTTTACTATATACAAGTGCACTAAGTGCACACAATATACCCGTTAGAGTGCAGTAAAGTGACAGTAGCATAAAGTGTTAATGAGCAGGAGAGGGGTCGGCTGTGATACGACCAGCCCGGCCTCGAGCTCGGGCAACGTACAGGTCCTGCAGCGATGGAAGGCTGCGGCCGATCACTTCCTCTGCAGAGCGCACAATGCGCTGTAGTCTCTGTTTGTCCCTGACTGTGGCTCCAGCAAACCACACGGTGCTGGAGGAGGTGAGGATGGACTCGATGATGGCCGTGTAGAACTGCACCAACATCTGTGCAGGCAGCTTGGCTTTCCTGAGCTTCTCTGCACGAAGTACACCCTCTGCTGGGCCTTCTTGATGAGGGAGCTGATGGTCGGCTCCCACTTGAGGTCCTGGGTGATGGTGGTGCCCAGGAAACCAAATGATTCCACAAAGGTGATGGGGGAGTCTATCAGGAAGGGGGGGGGGACCGTGCTTTTCCTGAAGTCCACAATCATCTCCACTGTCTTCTGGGCGTTCAGCTCCAGGTTGTTACCACTGCACCAGGACACCAGCCGGTCCACCTCCCTCCTGTAGGCGGACTCATCGTTGTTGGAGATGAGTCCAATGAGGGTGGTGTCGTCCACGAACTTGATCAGCTTCACGGAGTCGTGGCTGGAGGTGCAGTGGTTGGTGTACAGGGAGAAGAGCAGGGCAGAAAGAACACAGCCCTTTTCTTTGTACCATTGCTATGAGTGGAATATGACAGTAGCTCTTATTGTTGCAGTTAAAAAAAATGTTAAAATATTTGATTGTTAAAGTTATTTTCTTATTGTTGAAATGAGAAATAAAAAATAAAAAATTTCAGTTGTATTAGTTTTATGAATTACCGGGGATAACACAATGCAGTACTAGTATTGGTATCAGCAAGTACTCAAATTAAAGTACACGTATGGTTTTGAAAAAAGTGGTATTGGTGCATCGCTTAGACATAAAGGACACAAAGGACCACCGGCCACAGTTTGGACATGTCTGCTCGAGAGTTTTGAGCCAAATATTCATTATTTAGCCATATATGTGTATTTAATCTCTTCAACTGTGATTTCACTTTACTTGAATACGTTGCAGCAGATGAAGGACACAGACATAAGAATAAAGAGCAGAAGAGAGAGAAGACTCAAAATATATATTGAGGACTGTCATCCTGCAAAGTCACCACCAATGTCCTGTCCACAGGAGCGTGTGTGTGAGAACATACCAAGTTCTCTTGATTCTATTCCATTTGGATATATACACGTCTTACCTTGATAAGACAGAAAAATGGTGACTGACCTAAGAAGGTGAAGGTTTTCCCGGCGTTGGTGACTCCGTAGGTGAAGACCAGAGAGTTGGCTCCAGTCAGGACGTCTCTGACCAGGTCCTTCACCGTGCCGTCATACAGCTGCTTCTGTGACGTGTCCGGCCCGTACACCTGTGGGGAGGTAGCAGGTGAGGAGGGCAGATGTAGAGCTCCGATAGCACCAGCTCTGCCTTCACTTTTCTGGCTGTGTGCTGGGGTTTAAAGAAGCTATACTCGATATATAAAAATGCGTATTACTTCATACAAGTTGAATTAAAATCCGTAATTTAATTGAAAACTTGAGCTCACTGATTCAGCTGTGTATGAATTCAGGCCGTAAAAAGTGCAGAGTAGAAACTTAACGTGACGCTAGTTCTCCTCCAATCACAGAACGAGGGGCCACGCTTCCTCTAGAGTCTGCAGCGCTGATAAACAGTAGAAAGTGGCTATACCTCGTCTGGCTGTAACTGCATACACAGCAACACAGCCCAAACAACGCAACAGTGAGCAAGAGAAGAGGGAACTAAAACGGAAATATTATCAAAGAAGAAATCAAGCCAGGTGAACATACGTAGCGTTAGCTTACATCATATTCTCAGGAGAGACCTGCGGGAGAGGGAGCGCCTCGGACTATCTATGCTCGGACTACATTCGGACGCAAAACTAGCGGTAATCTTTCAGTTATATATTGTGTTAGCAGTGCGTAGCTTTTTTACCATTTCATCAGTGATTGTTGTACAGCTTACAAGAAGTTGTGCTAATGCTAATGTTTGCATACCAATCAGATTGCGAATAAAACTAGATGGCTGCGTGAAAGGAGAGAGCGTAGGGGAGAGTAGGAGTAGGATTTCTCCAAATGAGAAGCCTGTGAGCGAGTTGGGAGGCGGAGCTAAACTGAAAAAAACCTGCAGAAACAGGTATAGCTCTTTTAAGGATTAAAGATTAATGGAGCCGTTTGAGCATGCACAAAGCATAAAACCACTCCAGGTCAGCTTTAGCCCTCTGTAGTGGTTGGATAGAGCTGCTCACCTGGGAGAACTGGAAGCGCTGTCCAGTGTGCAGCTCGGTGGAGGTGGTGCTCTGCCTCCCAGACTGAGCAGAGAGAGGCGCCTTCAGCAGCACGGTGTCAGCACTCTCTACACTGACACAGGACTGAGGGAGGACACACAATGTGATACACACAACACAACTGTCAAATACTGCATCAAACTGAAACATAACTGGGGCACGGTGGCTCGGTGGTTACCACTCTCCTTTCTCAGCAAGAAGGTTCTGGGTTCAAATCCCGCTCAGAAAAGGGCCTTTCTGAGTAGAGTTTGCATGTTCTCCTCATGTCTACCCATTTCCTGCAGGTGCTCCGGTTAACCCCTACCACTGTGGCGACCCATCTTCCCTACAGAGGCCCAACTGGACTCATCCATTACAGGATGGGTCTAATTTCCCTACAGGGACAATAAAGTATAATATAACTGAATTACTTAAATGCAACTCCACACTACTACAACAATCAAACATTGAAGGAAATCATATTTTCCCCCTATCGCCCTGAAGAGGTGAATGTGGTCCGATTTTATTCAAACAACAACATTACTTTCTTCTTGATTATATTTAAAAGGCAAAAGATTCAAACTTTGAAACTTGGTGAAAGAGAAACTATTTAACGCATCTTCTTAAACATTTAGGAAGCAAAGAGCTGCATTGCACTTCTGTATTCAGTCCTGCCGCATCGATCTGCACTCTGCCCCTAATGCATCATCAATGAAACGTGGTCTTATCAAACCAGGAAAGTCCCACTGAGATTTCAGAATATCTTATTTAGGGAGGTCCTGGCCCGAGAGAGCGGGGAGCTACTGTACACGTTTTAGTGATAGGGGAGACTGCAGGGAGAACATGCAGACAACTGTCAGGAGGTGGAATCGAACCCAGGACATTCTTGCTGAGAAGCGAGAGAGTGTAAATATCTCCATTGTTAGATCAATAAAAGAAAATCTCATCTTATCCAACCACAAAATTCTGATCAAGTTAGCAATCAGCATTTTAATCTTTTAAGAAAAACTGCATTGCTGCCAAACCCAGATTCAGAAAACGGCGGCGAACAAAGCCTGTCCAAACAGTGGTCAGAAGCTTTGGGAGAATATATATAACTCACACCTGCATGAAGTGAGTTTTAAAAAGAAATCATTATTCTTATTATCATTATCAATAAATTATTATGTTCCAGCTTCATCCCTATGGCAGAAGATATTGTTCGCTGAGATGCAGAACATGTCAATAACCTCTTCTTTCCTCAAGCTCTTATCAGTTTGAAGAAAGCACCATAATGACCTTGCACTTGTTAATAAAGCACTTTTGGTTGCATTGCTTCTTGTACTTGATTTGCTTGTTTAGCTCATGAACTTGTGTCTGGTGCACACTGGGGTATATTTGTACATGTATCCCAATGTGGTTTTACTGCAGATGGAAAATACACACTCTGAATCCTACGATCATTATTATCATGATGACCTCTGGAAACAGCTGTGTGTAAATGACAAAGATTCTGTGCCCTTTCATCCAAAACCACAAAGTCTTTCTTGATGTTTACAGACGTGAACGTGATTCTGACCTGTGCGTCTCCCGAGCTGCTCTCGCCGCTGGTGAAGGGCCGGATGCGGAGGTAAACTCGCAGGTGCTCCCTCTCCTCTACGTCTCCTGTCTGGCAAACAAACATGGGACATCGTGGTCTGCTAAGGGTACGCCCGAGGAGGAGAGAGGAGAGAGGTGACAGGGGAGGAGAGAGCAGGGAGGAGAGAGGAGAGGAAGAGGGCAGAGAAGAGAGGAGGAGGAGACAGCGGCTATGAGACAGGAGAGAGCAGGGAGGAGGGAGGTGGGGGGAGAGCAGGGAGGACAGAAGAGAGGAGAGGGGGGGGAGTAGGACAGAAGAGAGGGCAGAGAGGAGAGAAGAGGGAGGAGTTGGAGAGAGCAGAGAGGAGAGGAGAGAGGAGAGGGGGTAGGAGGAAAGAAGAGAGGAGATAGGTGAGGAGAGGACAGAGAGGAGAGCAGGGAGGAAAGAGGTGATGGGATGGGGGAGGAGAGAGCAGGGAGAGAAGAGAGTGGGGAGGAGGAGAGAGCGAGGAGGAGAAAGGTGAGGGGGAGGAGAGAGGGGAGAAGAAAGGGAGGAGGAGTAGAGAGCGGGGAGGAGAGGAGAGAAGAGGGGGGGGGGGGAGAGAGAGGGGGGGGGGGGGGGGGGGGGGGGGGGGAGGAGGAGAGGTGAGTTTAAAGGAGAGAGCAGAGAGGGGGAGGTGGAAAGAGGAGAGAACAAGTGTACCTGCAGTTCAGTGGAGGATCCCAGATCAGAGGATACGTCACTTTGGGAAACACCAGCCTCTCGCTGCTCTGTTCTGTCGTCCGAGTCCAGCTCCATTTCACTCTGAAAACAACAAACTAGATTATATTTGGGTTAATCATGTTTCTGTTCATTTATCTTTAAGTGCTAATGATTGTGTCCAGAATAAATACTGACATTTCCTTGTAAGAAATTAAACTGAAGCAGAAAAATGTAGTAATTTATGACCGTAATGAGCAACATTTAGAGGTAGAAGGGAAATTAAATTCAGGAGGCTTTTTATCTAGAAATATATGTCATAGAAGGCCTGCAGTTGTAAAGGATATCATTGAACGAGAGAAAACGTCAAACAGCTCGGTCAATGTCAAAGTCTCAAGGGTTTGCCATTGCACAAGTTTGTTGAACAGAGCATTCAGACAGAAGGGGCGGGAATGTATCTGTGCCACAAGTGCCTAGTATAATAGTGAATGGAGCTAAATCAATTCCAAGGTTAGTTTTTTTGACAATTCTCTCTTTTGACAGAATGTGTCTGCAGACAGAATTTCTCATTGTAAGTCAGTGACAAATCAAAACTAGTCAAGTAATTTCGACCAGTGTTTTTCAACCAGTGAGCCGTGGGATGTTAATGTGCCTTGGGAGACTTTTTGCGCTGGTTTTCTATACATTTTATATACTTGATATTGACTTTATTTTTATCATAATGGCTTCAGAGTTTCCTGATGTATCAGTTTCAGCTGGTGGCGTGCATGTGGTTGACTTCAATGCAAAAGGTGTGTGTACCACAGATCAGAGAGGTTGGGGAACACTGCTTGAGGCTGGTTTGAGAGAAGCCTCCAAATGGCCCTCAAGTCTTCTTGTCAACTGGTTTATGTTATACCAAAAGATCAACACAAGCATCACGTCTTGCACTGTGTCTGAGACTGGATATCAATGTTCTAAGCCTTATCAAAGCTGTGGTGGCACTGTCAGACTGTCAAAGCTTTGTTCAATACAAGTTCGGTGGTCTCCCTCAACTTCCAGATGTAGTTCTTAGTGAAAGTGGTTCCTCAAGAATTCCTTATTGGTAATATTAAAACAAGGGGGATAGATCAAGAGAAGACTTTTGGCTTTTTCCCTGAAATGAAACTAAAAGGTAGTGTCAGGGATCAGTCCATGATCAAAACACAGCCTGGGCGTGATTGTGGAGCTAAGCTAAACTATGCTAACGCTGTCACTGTGGACGCGTTTCTCCACTACAGTCGGTGACAGTGTGGGCTTTACATTCCTCACTTTTCTTTACTCACCTTGTCTTGTATCTGCGCAGGACGGTGTGAGTGTTTGGTCCACTTTCTGCTCTTGTTTATGCAGTTCTCTGAGACTCGTCACATCGCGCACAGGGGAAAGCAGAGTCGCGGTCTGAGTTTGAAATTTAGGGGCAGGACCGCGCATGCGCCACTTTACCCACGACGCTATTAGTTTAAATTTACTGTTTTACTCGTACCTGGTTTTATTTTCAACTTTAGACCACTTTTTTCTGTGTTCTTAATAAATAGATAATTGAATTTAATTCAAATACTGGTCTAGAGAGCTCGTGGCTCTTGTTCAGCAGGGGGAGTGTGGCGGCCATCTTGCATTTCCACCAGAGCTCAGGGCTGCGTCAGAATTCAGAACCAGAATCAGAATTATTTTATTGACATGTGTATAACAAGAAGTCAAAGACTATGAAATTAGAAGTTTTGGGTTCTTCTATTCCAGACAGAATAAGGTTTTGCAATGTTATAAAAAAAAAAACCACACACACACACACACACACAAAAAAGACTAGGAACTTGCTTTGGCTCTCCGTGCAAACAGGTAAACAAGTTTAGAATAGAGTAATGCGTAGAATAAAAATCAACAAAAAATGTATTACATTTTTTTATTGAGGTTCCCACTCATGTCTCAGGGACAAGCTCTTGCTGTAGCATGCTGGTCTCTCAGAACTAATGGTTCACAACTTTATTAATACCTTTTGTGGACAACATAGGAGCTTGTCCTTGAGGCTGGAGTAAGAACTGTATCCACAAGGTTCCAAAGCCACGGCTCCAACGAAGGTCGTCTGGTATAATAAGTCTACAGTAACACCTCATCCTAAACAGGAAGGCATCTGAAGAGAGTCTAGTGCACATGGAGGATCAAGGTCAGTTGCTCTACTCGTCCATAGAGGGTCACAGAGAAGATGCAGTTACATCAGGAGGAGGACGCACACAGAAAGGAACAATTACTTCATCTATATGAGCAAAAGGAAAATCCAAGTACTTATGTCACATCAAATAGCTCTATTCTTGGAAAATATAGAGAATTAAAGAGACTGTAAAAAAAAAATATATATATATATATATACAGAAATCACTGATCACATTGTTCAAACAACAGACTAGTAGGTACTAGATTCTGCTCAAGCTAGAATAAAGATTTATTATGAAGAAGTAAAAAATGAGAACAGTGTGCACTCTGAAGTCATAAACAGCGCAGTTCAGCTGGACCCCAAGGTTTCAACTCCTGCTCCAATGTTGAACAGATTTATTGTACCTACTGTATAGACAGCATTTCAATTAACAGACTCATGAAGGCAAACTGTATCAGATTGAAGCTTTTCTTAGCAGCACCAGACTCCTTAAGGTGGAAGGAAGGATGGGAGGAGGGATAAAAAATGCATAATTCTCAAGCACTTTGAGGCATCCTGTTATAGTGCCAAATAATCACAGTGTAAACAAACTGTTGAAAGCACATTTCGTCAATAAAGTGCAGACAATTAACAAGATCAAAAATTGATATACTGTGCAGTCACAGTATGTCAGGTTGGGAAAGAGTGTGTCTGGGACTCTTGTGAGCAATACGGGTAGTGTTCTGGCTCCCTTCCTCTTCACAATTTACACTGCAGACTTTGCACACAACTCTGCTACATGCAGGGCTGGACTGGCCATCGGGCGTACCGGGCAATGCCCGAAGGGCCGATGCCCATATTTGGGCCGGTCTGTCTGCCTCATACAAAAAACATGTTTGTGAAAAGTGTAAATCCGTTGAGAAATGTTCGAGGGGGGCGCGCGTGTCCGCGGGGCACCTGCTGTATGTACTCAAACGGGATTCCACCACCTCAGCGGCCGCAGTGTTCCCACATCCAGCGGCTCTGAGCTGGACGCAGGAACCGCTCACCGGGAACCGCTCACAACACAACACGGTGAGCGCGTAGCCGCAACGTGACCATGTACCCAAGACCATAAACGCGCACAGGACCATGCATGTCTTTTCGTAATTTGTGCACCCAATAAATACACCGCTGCAGAAAACAGTCCGCGTCTCCCCTCTCCTCTATATTAAAGCTCGGGTACCTAAATTTTCCATTGCATTAAAAGTTCATGTTTGAGCCCAAAAGTAAAATGTTGTGAACAGATTAAACAGATTTAGAGCCAGCTAATGGCTGACAATATGCATTTCAGAATTTTTTACCAATTCTCATCCCTGTAACAAACAATATTGTCTGTGCCCACCTCCCTCACTCTGAGACATGTTTATTACTCTGTTTAATGTAGACTATTGTACTGTATTTTATAGTTCCTGATCCTCTACAGTATTTGCTTCCACATACTGTATAAACCAGGGGTCGGCAACCTTTAGTGCCCTTAAAGTGGCTCCTGGAGCCATTTAAAAAATGTCTGAAAATGGAGTGTGAGGGCTATATTTTATTTCTAGTTTCAATGTGGTTTCTGTAGGAGGAAAAACATTCTTAACGTTTTTCAATGCTGCAAAAACTTGTAATATTCAATTTTAACTGTGTGTGCGCATGGATCCCAAAGATAAAGAGAGTCGATAAGACTGGACTAAGAATGAGAATGAACATTTGCTTTCAGTCAATGAGGAAGGACTGCTTCATGTTTGCGATGTAATGAAAAGTTTTGTTGCAACAGGAGGAACAATGAAGCTTTAAACACTGTTCACTGAAAGATTAATTCATCATAAAGTCAGAGCACCTATTTTCAGACTTCAAAAACCTTCGCAAAGACGGTGACAGAAAAGGCCATTAAGGACATTCAGCTCCAGCAAACTTCAGCCTGTGACGTGATGGATATGAACAGACAGTGATGCAGGTGAACTGAGCCAAAAAGCAGATTTATTTACTCTATTTGTACAAATGCATGAAGGTTAAACTTAAAGCAGAGTTGTCACGTGGTGCGTCATTCTCTCCAGGACACGCTGCAATGAAAATACACATTTGATAATCATGAATGGTTTTTATGTGTTTAGCCTTTACTTTGTCATTTAGATATTAATCTAATATAGCTAATATAGCTAATGTAGCTAATACAGCTTCAGCCCCTGTTACCTTCATATAAGTCTTATACAACGCTGTTTTTTTTTTTTTTTTTTGTCAAATAGGGCTCCTTGAACCTTTTGAGTTGCCTGGGCCGCTAAAAAGGAAAAAATGCCCGGGCCGTTTTTTTGTCCCAGTCCAGCCCTGGCTACATGCCATGTACAAAAATACTCAGACGATACCGCTGTTGTGGCATGTGTGAAGGGGGGATGAAGCAGAGTACAGGGAGGAGGTGGCTGCCTTCTCAGACTAGAGTGAGAGAAATTGACTGATTCTCAATGTGTTCAAGACCAAAGAGAAGATCATTGACTTTCACAGGAGTCCTTCCCATCAACAGATCACAGTAAATGGACAAGACATTGAAGTGGTACAGTCCTGCAAATACCTTGGAGTCCACCTGGACCACAGATTGGACTGGTCAGCTCAGGCCAATGCTGTCAATAAGAACGGTCAGAGCAGACTTTTCCTCCTGAGAAAGCTGAGGTCCTTTGATGTGAACGGTCAGATGTTGCACATATTTTACCAGTCTGTAGCTAGTGCCGTGTTCTTATGGGGTCACCAGTTGGGGGCAGTCTGACCTGAGAGACAGTAACCGGCTCGACAGGCTGATCAGGAAATGTGTTTCTGTGATGGGGAGAAGTGTGGACTCTGTGGGAGCTGTGCTGGAGAAAACGATGAGCATTCTAATGCAGGGCATCCTGGGTAATTCCAGACACCCTCTGCATGACACTATGGCCGCTCACAGGAGTATCGTAAAGGATAATATCTCTGTTTTAAGAGATCCTTTGTTCCTTTGGCTGTCAGACTGTACAACAGACCTGGACGAGTTAAAAATATACACTATTGTTAGGTAGTTAGCTAGAAATGTTTGTTAGTTAGAAATATTTATAATTAATTAATTTAATTTCTCAGTCAATTCATCTATATCAGAAACAGCACCCACACCAGGACCAGGGGGGCAGCGAGAGGGGGGTGATACAGTCCCCTCTCGCTGCAGGAAAAGCACATTCTCCGACCGTGGCACCTCAGATTGGAACCTCCTACCCACAACCATCAGAAATGCAATCATATGCAATTACCTCATATACAAAACACAGTTAAAACACTGGCTCATCATAACCAAACCTGTCAGCACTGACTCTGCGTGCTCTCTGCTGCCCCCTGCTGACTGCTTGCTCTGTGTACGCATGTGTGTGTTCTGTATATGTCTCCTCATGATTGTGTATCGTTTGTTGAATGATGTGTGACTGAATGTTTTCTTGTCTTGTCCTTGTAAATATTGCAAATAGATCACATTATTTTAACAGTCTGTGCATCAAACATGTTTTATCTTTCAGGAGACACTGGACTGCGGATGAAAAATAGCCGCTTGTTCATTGACATGCACTGTCCCTGTGATAAATAAATAAATAAATAATGTACTTATGTAATTATATGGATTGTGTTTTCTGCTGCTGGACACCTGAATTTCTCTGGCAGGGATCAATAAAATATCTATCTATATACAGTGCCTTGCGAAAGTATTCGGCCCCCTTGAACCTTTCAACATTTCGCCACATTTCAGGCTTCAAACATAAAGATATAAAACATTTATTTTTTGTCAAGAATCAACAACAAGTGGGACACAATCGTGAAGTGGAACGAAATTTATTGGATAATTTAAACCTTTTTAACAAATAAAAAACTGAAAAGTGGGGCGTGCAATATTATTCGGCCCCCTTGCGCTAATACTTTGTAGCGCCACCTTTTGCTGCAATTACAGCTGCAAGTCGCTTGGGGTATGTCGCTATCAGTTTTGCACATCGAGAGACTGGAATTCTTTCCCATTCTTCCTTGCAAAACAGCTCGAGCTCAGTGAGGTTGGATGGAGAGCGTTTGTGAACAGCAGTCTTCAGCTCTTTCCACTGACTCTCGATTGGATTCAGGTCTGGACTTTGACTTGGCCATTCTAACACCTGGATACGTCTATTTGTGAACCATTCCATTGTAGATTTGGCTTTATGTTTTGGATCATTGTCCTGTTGGAAGATAAATCTCCGTCCCAGTCTCAGGTCTTTTGCAGACTCCAACAGGTTTTCTTCCAGAATGGTCCTGTATT